TTCCGCGAGTAGCTCATTCTTTCCTGCAGTGTTGAATGCTTTGTGCATGAGTCAGTCCAGGTCTGAGGTTGGGAAATAAATGATCCTGTGTAGATCCAATGCAACAGCACTAGTAACTGCAAATTCAGTGCTCCTTTGGAATTGCTGGTGAACCCTTCTCCCTCCTGCTTTACCATGCACATGACCTCTCTCCCTCCCTCCCTCTCTCTCAAGATTTATTTTTATTTGAAAGGCAGAGTTACAGAGAGACTGAAAATCTTCTGTCCTCTGGTTCACTCCCCAAATGACCGCAATGGCCAGAGCTGGGCCAGGCAGAGGCTAGAAGCCTGGCACTTCTGGGTCTCTCACGTGGGCGCAGGGGCCATCTCCCACTGCTTTCCCAGGTGCATTAGCAGGGAGCTGCATTGGCAGTGGCGCAGCCAGGCCTCGAACTGGTCCATGTGGGATGCTAGCATTGCAGGTAGAGGCTTAACCTGCTAATCCACAGTGCTGGCTCCACATACGGCCTCTTTCTGTTCTTCCCAGTCCGTCTTCTCTTGTCCCCCAGAACCCTGCTCCCAGTTGGCCTGCACTTCGGAGACGGGGAGGGCTGAGGTGGGGACGTGAGCGCTAGAGGCTGAGGTGGGACGCACACCGAGGTTCTGCTGCTCACCTCGCAGCTCTGCTGGCTCCGTTGCTGGGCTCACATTGAACAGATCGCCACATGTTAGTCACTACTGTCCCGCAAGGGCCGGCTCTCCTCTGAACTGTAACTAGTCAGCATGCAAGTTCTGGAAGCCACTAGGTTTAGAGGAAAGCCAAAGTCATCAGAATGAAGCCTGCAGTCTCGCATCACCTAAAAATAGGGGTATGTTCTGAGAAATTGCTGATCACAAACTCTGTGTAGGCGATACAGTCTCATGGGGCCACCGGGTCTGTATGGGCTGTCATTTATGGAGATGTCACTAGACAGCACAGGAGTGCGTCCTGCAGACAAACCACTGACATGGGGACTGAAGCAGCTCTCCCTGGGTGACACCCTCCACCCACTGTCCCCAGCTCTCCACCCCATGATGGACCATGAAAGGCAGCGTGACAGATCTGGTGTACTCCCCACGTGGCCACAGCAGCTCCCACTGGACCAGGCTGAAGCCAGGAGCCTGAAAGCCCATTCAGGTCTTCTGTGCGGGTAGCAGGAACTGAAGAACGCAAGCCATCATCTGAGGCTTCCCAGGTGTATTAGCAGGAAGCTGGATCAGAAGTGAAGTAGCCAGGATGGAGTGTTGGCTTCCCAAGCAGCAGCTTACTCACTGCACCGCAATGCCCACCCCAGCTTCTCTCTCTCTCGCTCTCTCTCAAGTATTTATTTATTTGAGAAGGTGAGACAGAGAAGAGAGAGATCTTCCATTTTCTGGTTTGCTTCCCAAATCCTCGCAACAGCCAAGGCCTAACAATTCCCCATGTTGTCAGCTTCTGGCATTGAAACATAACAAAATAGGCACCACAGTATAATTTCAGGTTTACATGCAGAACTTCACAAAGTCACAAAATGACATTGGGAGACTGCTTAAATGAGCGCACACTGGCAGATAGAATCTGAAAGAGTTCATGAGGCCCATCAACCAATGAAGAGGAACTAGACAAGGGAGCCAGTTAGGTGCTCTGTATGGGGCTGACTCGAATATCAAGGGTAAAAGATTAACCTCAGGAAGCCCCTGACTGCCTTTTGTAAAAATGACCCTGTAGACGCTGAAAAATGAGACATGATGTGATGTTCTACTGGGGAAGGAAATACAGCTAAAATCCTTTTGTTCTAAGAATTAGCCCCTCGCTGCAAGGATACTTTGGTAGAGGATACTTGTTTTAATAGAACACTGGGGAGATGTGGGTCACAGGGTATGCAGTTTTAGTTAGGAATAAAAGTTCAAGAGAGCTATTCCCTAAGATGATTATAGCTATAGCATATTATATGTATATTATATACTTCTGAAAGTCATTTAGATTTTTTTGAAAATATTTATTTGAAAGCGTTACACAGAGACAGCAGGAGAGGCAGAGAGAGAGAGAGAGAGAGGTCTTTCATCTGCTGGGTCACTCCCCAGATGGCTGCAATGGCCGGAGCTGCACCGATCCGGAGCCAGGAGCTTCTCTGGGTCTCCCACGTGGGTGCAGGGGCCCAAGGACTTGGACCATCCTCTACTGCTTTCCCAGGCCGCAGCAGAGAGCTGGATTGGAAGAGGAGCAGCTGGGACTCGAACCGGCGCCCCTATGGGATGCTGGTGCTTCAGGCCAGGGCTTTAACCTGCTGCGCCACAGCACTGACCGCACTTAGATTTTAAGTGTTCTCATCACAAAAAACATGTGAGGTAATGCATATTAATTAGCTCAGTGTAGCCATCTCATAATGTATACAGTATCTCAGAACATCATATTGCAATGATAAATATATACAACTTTGTCAATGAAGAATCAGTATTTCAGATGCTTGTTTTAGTAGCAGTTTTATTTTGCAAGACAGAATCCCCATCAAAGCTCTCATGTTCGCCGCTGGCAGCTCCGGTCTCCGTTCCAGGCGCGCTGGCCGCAGGCGGCCCTGTCGGGGCGCACTTCCTTGGCGAGGGAGCGTCTTCGCGCGCGTCTGTCTGCCCGGTCTTCCCAACAGCAGCACATCTTGAGGCGGCGCCAGAGACAAATGCCAGGTCGCTTCATGTGGGGCAGTAGGGTGCGCGTGCACGCAGGTGACCAGTGAACCTCTGCCCTGTGTCGCGTGTTCACTGAGAGGCCGTAGGGCAGACCCAGAGCTGACAGCGCAGAGACCCCAGGGCTGAGGCCCGGGCTGGGGGCCCCGCCAGGCGGCAGAGTGGAGGCGCCCGAGCGGCCCGCCAGGCCCGTCCTCTGCTGGAGCTGGGCTTCCTGAGCAGCAGCAGGGACCGCTGAGAGCGCGGAGGGCTTGGGACTGAAGGGCTGCCTGGGGGTGCGGCACTGCCCCCCACCCCCACCCCGGGTAGCACACAGGAGCCGTGTGCAGGGGCTTCGGGGGCTCCGGTTCATTCCGGCCTGGCGTCAGTCAGAACGTGCATACTGAGCTTCTGAGCAGACTGAGTGCTGCTTGGGGGGGTGTTGGGATGAACTCCAGGGCGGAACCAGGTGAGCTTCCCACTTGGGGTCAGGGGAGAGGAAGCAGCACGCAGCGCTGACGACCTGCTGCGGTGGCTGACCCTACCCCGCAAGCAGGGGCCAGAGCCCCAGGCTTTAGTCCAGCTGAAGCAGCCCTGCTACCTCCCTCTCCTGCGGACAGGGCTGGGCTGGCCGAGGTTTCAGGCCCGCGACACGCAGGCTGCGCAGGGGCAGGCAGTGAGCGCCTGTGAGGGCCGTGAGGGCGCAGGGCAGGGGGAGGGGCAGGAAGCGGCTCCAGCGAAGCTGCAGGCCAGTGCAGAGGCCGAGCTTAGCTCTGGGCTGGGGGCCTCAGCGAGGAGTGCTCTGAGGCTACCCAAGGGCAGGTGTGGGCCCGGGACGCCCAGGCCGCAGGGCGGGGCAGTTTCCAGGCCCCTCACGGTGCAGGGAGGGTCAAGCCGGCTACTCGCTGGAGGGCTCTGGTGGCTTTAGGGCCAGGGAAGGAGGAGCCAAAGAGGTTGAAAGGAAAAGGGCCGAAGGCCTAGGGGAGGTGGCACATGGCCTCTGCCATCTGTTCTGGCTGACTGACCACTGCTGCACCCGAACCCTCAGAACGCTGTCTGCCCTGTGGCTCAACACGTCTGTACGTGAACAAAGCCTTGATGCGTAGTTTTTTTTTTTTGGGGGGGGGGGGACAGGCAGAGTAGACAGGGAGAGAGAGAGAGACAGAAAGGTCTTCCTTTTCTGTTGGTTCACCCCCCAAATGGCTGCAATGGCTGGCGCTGCGCCGATCCAAAGCCAGGAGCCAGGTGCTTCTCCTGGTCTCCCATGGGGTGCAGGGCCCAAGCACTTGGGCCATCCTCCACTGCACTCCCTGGCCACAGCAGAGAGCTGGCCTGGAAGAGGGGCAACCGGGACAGAATCCGGCGCCCCGACCGGGACTAGAACCCGGGGTATCAGCGCCACATAGCCTATTGAGCCGCAGCGCCGGCTGCGTCGTACTTTTAAAAATGAAACCAAGACGATGCACTAGAGAAAGATTTTAAACCAGTTAACTCTAGGAAGTGGGAATTTTACTTGTATTTATAACTGTAATTTTTAAAAATGTATTGGTTGATTTGAAAGAGAGTGACAGAGAGAGGGGGAGGGACGGAAAAGATTTCCCGTCTGCTGGTTTATTCCTCAACTGGCCGCAACAGTGAGCCTGGGCCAGGCCGAAGCCAGGAGCCAGAAACGCCGCCCTGGTCTCCCACAGACTGGTGCCATCACGTGCGTTTCCCAGGCACGGCAGCAGGGAGGGGTCAGACGTGGAGCAGCCAGGACTCGAACCAGGGACTCCAGTATGAGACGCGGGTGCCTCTACTGGCAGCTTATTCTGCTGGGCCACACCGTGTGCAGCAATGTAATTTATTTTTAAATGTAAAATACTATTAGAAATTCTGCAGTAGGGGCTGGCATTGTGGAGTAGTGGGTAAAGTCACCACCTGTGGTGCCAACATCCTACATGGGCACAAGCTGAAGTCCCGGCTGCTTCACTCCCCATCCAGCTCCCTGCTGATGCCCTGGAAAGCAGCGGAAGACGGCCCAAGTGCTTGGGCCCCTGCACCCACGTGGGAGACCTGGAAACGGTCCTGACTTCGGACCAGCCCAGCTGTGGCCATTTGGGGAGTGAACCAGTGAATGAAAGATCTCTGTCTCTCCCCTTCTCTAACTCTGCCTTTCAAATAAATAAATATATATTTTTTAATTTACTTACTTATTTTAAAGGCAGAGTAACAGAGAGGCAGAGGCGGCGGGGTGGTGGTGGTGAGAGGTCTTCCATCCACTGGTTCACTCTCCAAATGGCCGGAATGGCCAGAGCTGTGCCAATCTAAAGCCAGGAGCCAGGAGCTTCTTCCGGGTCTCCCACATGGGTGCAGGGGCCCAAGGACTTGGGGCCATCTTCTACTGCTTTCCCAGGCCATAGCAGAGAGCTGGATCGGAAGTAGAGCAGCCAGGACTCAAACCAGCACCCATATGGGCTGCTGGCATTACAGGCAGCGGCTTTACCCATTATGCCACAGCACCAGTCCCTAAATAAATCTTTAGACAGAAAAAGAATTTTCTAGAACCTTTTGTGTAGTGAAATGGCCTTCAACCACAGAACCAGGTTGTTGAATGTCCTTTACAGTCCTCGAGCCTCTGGCTCCCCAGCCCTGGCAAGGGCTCATGGGAGCGCTCCCTGCACCACCACCAGCCTCGGAGACTGGGGGCCTGGCCTGTGCCCACTCAGCCAACACAGACTGAGTAACAAAAGGAAACAGACTCACCCGGGGCCCCTCGGCCCTGGCATCTCCAGCCAGCACTGCAGGGTGACCTCTCGGGTGGCGCCATCTCAGACGTGGCCACATAGGTACAGCCTACTCACTGACCTGAGCGTGTCTCTGATGCCAGGGCACCACGCTCGAAACTGTGTGTGCCTGGAAAGACAAAGTGGGGTTGGGGAAGAGAGCAGCCGTGCTGATGACAGCTGTCCTCGTCCCCGTACTCACCGAGCTTCCGAGACTTTGGCACAACAGGCAGTGAGGGAGAGCCCTGCTGAGGCCACCCCACGCCTTCCTCCCTCAGCCCCGTGTTGCTGAGCCAGCTGCCGGAGGCCTGGGGCTGGGGCAGCTCTGTGGGCGGAGGCTGCTTCCAGAAGCTGCTGTCCACTGTTGCAGGCCCGGCCCTCAGCTGCCGGAGACGCCGCGGGCTCAGGCTGCGCCCGCCGGCTGCCTTCTCCAGGACCAAGCAGAGAGTTCACGGCCTCCCTCCCACTTCGACTGGCACTGAGACCCCTCTTCCAGCGGAGTGGCACCACTGGGAGAAGGCGTTCAAACGCCGGCTCCGATTCGGTCAGTCCTTACCCCAGCACGAAGGCCGGCAAGCCGACGTCTTGTCTTCCCCACACCTCGCCAGGAGTCTCAGGCAGCGGCCAGATGTTACCAAGTCACGTCAGAGGGGTACCGGGGATGCTGGGCACGCCCCAAGGTCCAACAGAGGCTTCCAAAGGGGCAGCTGCCCAGAACAAGCGTGTGCCAGCTGGCAGCAGCGCCTTCTAGGGCTTGAAAGAACCCCCAGTTCTAAGGGTTGACCCTCCAGCTGGCCACATCTCCTAGGCAGCGACTTCCCGCTGTCAGGCCGGCGTTAGCTTGGATGACAGCTTGCGCAGCCCCTGCGTGACGGGGGTAGGGAGGCCTTCGCCATGCAGCTGCCTCACTGCCCTTCCCAACCTTGCCCCAGATTAGGAGCAGCAAAGCGCACAGCGTGCCTCTGCCACCTCTCCCACTGGTTCTGCCTCCTCCTGAGCCCGGAGAACTGGTCTTCGCTCAGGAACTTGAAGCTCATCACGTGCTCACAAGGTGAGGGGTCAGTCTCGTGGATGCTGCCTCGGCTCCGACCAGGGTTCCTTTCGGCAGCCCTCTTCTCACTGCGTCAGCACACGTGCTGACCTGCACCTGCCCTTTGTGCTTTAAAGATTCACTTATTTGATTGAAAGAGTTAGAGAGGGAGAGACAGACAGATCTTCATCTGCTGGTTCACTCCCCAGCAGTGGAAGCCAGGAGCCAGGAGCTTCCTCCCCATCTCCCATGTGGGTACCAGGGGCCCAAGTACTTGGTCCATCGTCTGCTGCTTTCCCAGGCCGTTAGCAGGGAGCTGGATGGGAAGTGGAGCAGCCAGGACACAAACAGGCACCCATATGGGATGCTGGCGTTGTATGCGGTGGCTTTAACCGCTACGCCACAATGCTGGTCCCCCAACCTGCATCTGTTAAAAAAAATTTGATAAAATATGTATGAACTGTAGTTGTCTTCAGCAGATATGTTTGCAACATAGTTTAAAAGATCAGAAAGCTCAAAAAGTCAAAATTTTGACCCTGTAAGGTATAAGAAGCTAAGGCAGGGACTAGTGTTAACATGGTGGAACAGAAGTGCTGCTGGCTTGGCTGGTTCAGTCTGCCAGCAGCCAGAGGCAGACATGCGTCTCAGGGGACAGCACAGAGGGGAGCATTAACTAAGCACCCATCTGCATTAATTGGAAAGGGAGATCTTCCATCTGCTGTTCACTAACCAAATGGCTATAACAGCCAGGTCTAGGCCAGGCTGAAGCCAGGAGCCAGGAATTCTATCCTGGTCTCCCACGTGGGTGGCAGGGGCCCAAGCAGTTGGGTCTGCTACCTTCCCAGGGTGCACTGGCGGGAGCTGGCACTCCTGATGTCGGATGCTGGTACTGTTAGCAGGTATTGCAACCTGCTGCACCACAACGCCAACCCCTCATAAAATAAACCTGGAGTGGACATTCGGCACGGCAGTTGCCGCTTAGAATGCCTGCATCCGGTATAGAGTGCTGGGTCCGAGTTCTGCTTCTACCTCTGATTCCCGCTTCCTGCTACACATCCCGGGCAGCAGCGGGTGGTGACTCGAGCACCTTAGTCCCTGCCACCCACATGGGAGGCCTGGATTGAGCTGCCCACTGCTGCCTTCAGCCTGGCTCGGCCCCGGCTATTGCAGGCAGTGGGGAGTGAGCCAGTGGATGGGAGATTTCTCTCTGCCTTTCTAGTAAATAAAAGGTTTACACAGCCTCGGGGCGGCTCAGGGCTGGGGTTCCATCCCAGACCTAGGGGCTCCCAAACCCAGTTCTTTCTACCAGAGTGGTGGTTTCCAAGTTTTTTTTTTTTTTTTTTTAAAGGCAGGAGGGACGTGTGTTTGGGAACACATGTGGCTCTTTCTGGTCCCAACCAATTAGTCCTTTTATTTTTTTAAATTTTTATTCTATTTATTTATTTTTTTGACAAAGTGGACAGTGAGACAGAGAAAGGTCTTCCACGCTGATCCGAAGGCAGGAGCCAGGTGCTTCTCCTGGTCTCCCATGGGGTGCAGGGCCCAAGCACCTGGGCCATCCTCCACTGCACTCCCTGGCCACAGCAGAGAGCTGGCCTGGAAGAGGGGCAACCGGGACAGAATCCGGCGCCCCGACCGGGACTAGAACCCGGGGTGCCGGTGCCACTAGGTGGAGGATTAGCCTATTGAGCTGCGGCGCCGGCCCCAGTTTCCTGCTAATGCAGACCCTGGGAGGTAGCTGGGAGGGCTCAAGTCATTGGGTCCCTACTAGCACACGGGAGGTCTGGGTTGCGTTCCTGGTTCCCAGCCTTGGCCCAGCCCTGGTCGTTGTCGTTGCAGACATTCGGGAGAGTAAACCAGCTGTAACACGTACACTGAAGGGGCGACAGCCCACGCGCCAGCTGAAGCTGCTGACTCACTGGTCTCTCTGGCTGGGCCGGGAGCTGTGACCGCTAAGCCCACCCAGCAGTGAAGCGCTGGCTGGCTCTCGCATAGCACAGCTCCAGTGTTTCTTACTTGGTGATACGGACACGAAGGACTCAAAGCCAATGTTGGAAATTCTGTCACTCCTTTTTTTCCAGCTTCCACTTCAATTTTGCCAACAACCAGAGACTGCAGCAGGCAAGCCGACTCAGCATTCGCAAGCGCTCATCCCTATGAAATGGGAACGTCCTCCTCCACAGCATCCAACCAAAACTGAGAAATAAACTGGACGCTCAGGCCGTCCACAGCGCGCTCGCTGGCCTTCACCAGAAACGCCTCTTCCCCACGGCCACTGATGTTGGCCCTGTACTTAACGGACTCGTGCGGACAACGTACCCTTTGTTTCTATGTATTGTAAGTAAGAAAGAATCACAAAACTACATTATCACCCCTTTTGATTAGGAGGGATACGAAGACTGCCAGTTGGTAGCAACGACCGAGTTCCTCTCCCAGGTTTCTGGTTCCGGCAATTCGGAGAGAACCAGGTTAAAACAGGCGTTCACAGAAAGCTCTCGTGCCCAGGAGCACGGGAGGGAGGGGCCAGGAGAGAGTCAGCGAGCTCACGTTTGCGTTAAGTCCCTAGGTGACCTGGACGAGGCTTTGCCCCTAAGCCTCAGTTTCCTCAGCGGAGAAGCGGTTGGAGCCGATGTTTTTTCAGGTTTTCATTTTCAGCACCCAAACCTTTCTTCATCTCGGACCCGCGGGCGCCCTTCCCACGATGGCCCCACGCAACAGTGAGAAACTAGAGAAACAGGTGGTCCTCGGCCCTTCCACCTCTGAGCCTCAGGGCTGCCAGCACCCTGCGCCCGGCAGACAAGTGCTGGCCTTTTCCACCGGCTCCTTGCTGAGCCCCTCTCCAGGGTTGAGGGGCTAGACCAATCCACCCCTCGCACACAGTACACTGCGCTTCACAGCACCGACTGGACAGCCACAGTGGCAGCCCGAATCCAGGGGCGGAACACCTTCTGCGGGTGGAAACGACGCGTTTATTGGGCGGGAGCGCTCACTGAGCTCCAGCAGGGCCAGCGCTGTTACAGCAGGCAAGCGCTACGTCAGCAGCCACACAGAGATTTTTCTTACACAGCATCTCAGCCTCACGGGTTACAGTTCCATTAGAAAAAACTTATAAACAAGTTGGGAAGCAGTTAAAGCCCAATTTTAAATGCCAGTGTAAAACAAATTTCACTGAAAATACAATTCAAATGCAACTGCTATGAGCACTTTAGAAAAGTTGGCTAAGAACCTGGGTATTACAGAAAAGACCTTAAATGATAAATACAATAGCAGCATTAAGAAGCTAATCCTCACTTCAGAAGATGTTCTGCCTTCGCCACACCCATGCCCCTGGCCCACTGCCTCGCCAGAAGACGCCTGCAGCAGGAGACGGGGGAGCAGGCTTCGGCACGACAGTGCTGGGGACAGGGGCACTCGGGTTTCAGTGTCAGGGCCTAGAAGGTTCACCTCCTACTCCTGCTTAGAGATCCTGCACGTCCAGCCCTGCTCTCAAGAAATCTTGTCAATAACCTTGACCTAGAACCTCCTTGAGGGTGTGCCTGGAAATTAAACAGCTGGGACTTCCTGCCCCGCTATCCCCAGATCTCAAGTGGAGAGCCATTTTGTTCCGCAGCCTAAGACCCACGCGTGGTTGTTGGCCCAGTTCTCAGCCAGTGCAGTCGGGTGGCTGCAGCTGCAGTTCTGGGGACCGGGCATTGAACAGGTGCCGCTAAACGGACTCCTGCAAGAGCGCACGGAGATCAGCCCTCACTCTTACAGGACCGGCAGAGCTCAGGCTGCAGCTCACCTCCCGGGGCACGGGGTCTCCCCGTGTGTGTGCGGACAGCCGCGGACACAGCTCTCTCAGGGACGACAGCTTGTGATCACTCTAGGACATACCCTCGGCTCCCGCTGTTTAGCAGGTCTTCTCGTACCACTTTGCTCATTTTCCTTTAAATCTGGCACCATACATTTTTACTTTGTATGGAAAATAACACCAAAAATTAGCAGGGGAAAATTTTTCTCTATAGCCACAGTAGAAGATCCCAGTGACTGAAGGCAACTACATCTTGTCTTTGTTTTTTTTTTTTTGTTTTGTTTTTTTTGTTTTTTTTTGTTTTTTTTCCAGGCTAAGGGAGATACTCGGTGCACAGATGGGGAAGCTCAGAGATGAAGAGGACTTCTGGCAGCTCAAGGTCACGGTCAGTGCACTGCTTCACACCACGTTCCTCCGTCTAACCAGCTGAAGAGAGCTGGCCTTGCCCTTTCCACACAAGCACCCTCCCAGGGCCGCTCCTCGCCCTTACCGGCACCGGCAGCGTGCGGGTCTCATCGGGGTCCTGGCGCCCAGCTTTCTGGCCCAGCAGCCTGTGTGTCTGGGTCCCAGGCAGCCTCACGAGGCGCCGTCTGCATTCTGCTTCACTGAGGCCTCAGACAACAGTGACTGCGCACACGCTCGGCTCTGACGCGCACCGGCTTCTCCCAGCTTGGTCAGAACACAGACGGGGCTCCTCCCTGGCAGACCGAAGGTGCTGGGGGCGGCACGTTCTCCCATGGAGGACAGGCTATTCTTAAAACACCCACTGCATGGCACTCAGCTTTCAGCAGGAACCAGCTGTTTTTAAGGACGGGTGTGTGTTTGGCACGGGTACATCCAGGCGACCCTAGCGCGACTCCCCCCCGAAGCCCAGGCCCTCAAGCAGGTTTGGAGTGGTCTGTCCAGAGCCCGACTCACCGCAGCTGTTAGGCCGCAGCATCAGAGCTGGTGCCACTAGCAACCTTCCTTCCACAGCAACTACGCCGTCTGTCGGCCACAGACCTGTGGGATGAGAAGGGACTTGGGGCAAAACCCACCTCTGAGAAGAGCAACAGCTAGGCCAGAGCGAGTGGGTGACGGCTTTGCTCTGCTGCAAGCAGACGTGGAAGATCAGGGAGGAGCGTGCGCTCTCTGGGGGGCACAGGGCAGTCACAGCCAGTTCTCTTTCTGCCCACTCCCAGTCCAGCACACAGGAACGCAGGTAACAGCTTCTCGACCTTCCTGTCCACCTCGGCATGTCAGGGCTCTGCTCCTGACGCCCTGCCAGGGGAGGATGGCGCTCAGGGTGCAGCCAGACCAGGAGCCCGGAGGCCAGAGGCAGTCTGAGGATACTCGGAAAAGGGAAGCTCGCGAAGACCCTGCTTGCTTCGCCCTTTGTTAGTGCAGAAGATGTCGGGCAAAACCATGAACCAGAGTTCTCCAGGGCCTGGCGTCCTGGCGCGGATCCCTGCCAACGTCCAGAGTTGAAAATAACCTGTGGTTGTCCAGTGCCAGAGGTCAGTTTCCCAACAGCCCCTCAAACCACTTCACGCGTGCCGGAGGGAAAAGGGATGCGGAGGGGATGAACGACGGGGCACAGAGCTAGAACGGGTTAGCAGCCGCTACCATGCCAAACACTCACCTTTATTCGCTTTATTTATATATTTAACAATTCTAAAGTATTTACTTCTCGCTTTGACAAAAAAATGAAAAATATAGGAGCACTGACTGGCTCCTCTTTAGGAGAAAAAGGGTTATATGTACAGCTATGGAGATTTACAGTTCCTCCGTTACATACAAAGAAAAATATTAATAAAAAAGTGCTTCATTGATCAAAAAAGGGCTAAGAGCTGCAAGCATCTATTCACACTGTACATCAGACCCAAGCAACCCGTATCGTAACCTCTTGGCACCTGTCACGTAACCAGACCACACAGAGCGTGCAGAGAAGCTACAGCCCGGCCCGCTCAGCTCAGATGCTGAGCTACCTGCCGCTGCGAGCCGTCGGAGCCCTGCGCGAGGGCTCTGGGCAGACAGCGCCGGAGAAGGCTTCCGGGCCACACCTTAACCACACGGGCACCCAAGTGCCACCTTCCTGAGACGCAACTTGCCCCGGCCAGGGAACTACTTCCCAAGGGGAAGTGAGTACGGACTACGGGGTTTCCCTGGCCTCAGCCCCGCCCCTTGCCGGTCTGCCCTGTCACCGTTTAGCAGCTTTCAGCAGAGCCACACACGGCCCCGCCCCTGGAGAAGGCAGGCACAAACACACGGACGCCAGCACGGCAAGCACAAAGCCCCGCCCCGCTCCGCAGCCACCGCGCCACAAGGACACAAGGACGCTTGATTTAAGGCTCTTTTTGGACCACAGCAAAGCTCACTGAGGAAAGGTGCCCTAAACCTCCTCCAGACCACGTCACCTCTCTCAGGAACGCCGCAGAGTCCCCAGGTGGCCCTTTGCTGCTGCCTGGCCGCCAGACACAGGGCCGCTCAGGCAGCCAGAAGCAGGGCGGGGTGACAGCTGGCTCTTCCTGTGGCCCCTGGGAAGGGAGGAGGAGAAGGAGTGATCGCGGGGCCCTGCTCCCTTTCCCAGACGCTTCTAACTCTGATTCCACCCTCGCGGGGGTGACCCATGATTGGTTTGGTTTGGGAAGGGGAATTTTAGAACCCTGAGTCTGGATTTCCCAGTACTGTCCAAGGAAGAGAGATTGTTTGAGAGACCATGCTCTGGAGGGGGCTGCCAGCTACGGCCAGGCTCAGGGCAGGCTTTGGCCTTGGCCAGAGCAGCAACACACTGCGTTCTGGCCAGTGTGCGCTCTCGTGCCCGAGTGCGGGACGTGCTACAACAGCCCAGGCCAGGGAAGCAGCCCCTGAAAGTAAACGGACCCAGAGACAGTCTGGGTGAAGGTGACAGCAGAGCCCCGTGCAGGACAGCACACTGGTGACGCTGCCTCAAGGGAGCACACGCCCTCCTTTCACAAAGGGGGCCTGAGGGATTGCACTCGCCGGGCGCCCCACCACGCGAATGCCAATCCTACTCAGCTGTCTGCGAGGCGGGCCTGGCTCAGCACTCAGGAGGGAGACGGCGGCACTCCTGCCGGAGATGCTTCCCATCCAGCGTGGTAGCGGTGGTGGTGCTGGTGTGAGGCGTGCTTACAAACATTAGCACTGGCTTTCTGCCTGCTCATGGGCTCAGACCTCCACTCTACACTGTGGTTAGGCTCCTCCCACCCAGAAGAACCAAGCCAATCCCTCAGCGTCCCTGACAGCAGTGGCTCAGCAGTTAGAAGGGGCCTGGCAACCTCTGATCTTACACCCGACTCTATTTAAAAAAAAAAAAAAAACGGGTGCGTTCTTCTTTTTTGAAGGTAGAGAGAGAATGGCAAAAGGGCCAGGGGAGAAGAGGAAAGAAAAACCCATCTACAATCCAGTGGTAACACCCCAAATTTCCGTCACTCCGCACAGGTGGTTGCACGGGCCTCTTGGTCTGCCCAGGCGGGTGGGTCTGTCCGAGAAACAGCAGCGTGGCCTCCGCCCAGCCCGAGTCACTGAGCTTCAGTTTGAAGTGGCAGCAATGGGCTTATCCAGTTCAATGTCAATGCTGGAGCTCGTGGGATGTAGACTGCTGTAGCAAGACTTGCACACTCGACTGGGTTCAAATAGCTGCTGACTGGGGACCGGAACCTTCTGGTTACAGCAACTGGAGCAGAATACGTTCCCACAGTTCCTTGAGACGAGAAGAAACAAAACAGTGTTAGTTTCAGCTGGCAGGTCTGGGGGTGGGGCACCACGTTCAGAAGACAGATTTGGCTGTGCGTAGCTCAGATGTGCTGCAGAGACCTCTGCAATCCCACACGTGCACTGCTCTAGCCCAGGAACAAGCTGGGAAGAGGGGATTCCCTACTCAGGCACGTGGCTCTGCCCACTCCGAGCCCACACCTGACGGCTCGCACTAAGGCTCCAGGTGCACTGGAGGATGCCGCTCACGAGAGCTCTGATGACCAGAGCACGGCCAGCCCACTGGGGAAGCCCAGGGCCGTACCACCCAGGCAGGGCTCTGTATGACTTGGGATCAGAGGCCAGAGTTCAAAGGAGCTGCCCCTGGGCCCCTCAGAAGAGACCTGGAAGGTGAGGAGCTTGTAGGCAGCAACACGGAGGACCACTAGGACTGCTCCGCAGGCAGCGCACAGGCCCAGGCGACACATGCTGAGTGCAAGGGGCGCGGCAAGAGGCAGGAACACACGTGCACACCCCCGTCAGCTGTCAGTCCATTACGGCTCCCGCCCCTGCCCCGTGCATCTGCTCCCTACCGGATGTCTCGAGAGCCCCTCTCCTTCCCGGAAGCCTGGTGCTCAGGGGCTCGGTGCGCAGCCAGCCACCCAGGGCAGCGGCCTGCACGGCTGACAGGAAAGGGAACCGGCAGAGGGCGTCCTGGCCCTCCAGTGACTCTGCTTGGGCTAGCCTTGAGGCACAAGTCAGTCCCGGGGCCCTGGGGGGAGAACCCGGAGAGCTCCCAGAGCTCACCGAAGACGGGGGAGGGCAGCTCCGGGAAAGCCGCCGCCTCGGCCCGCATCACCCACTGCCTTCCCGCGCGTGCTCCTCAGGAGGCTCGCCCACTGCTGAAGGCGGGCCCCGGGCACGTGACCGACACCGAAGACCACTTGGGAGTGAAAGCCCACTCCACTAGGAGAAGGTGGGCCCAGGGCACGGAGAGGCCAGCACCAACACGCGCGCACACATAATCCTCTCTGGAACAGAGAAGTACCTCAGCACCGTCTCCGAAAAGCGCACGTGAGCAAGAACCTGTGGTTACACAGCAGCATCTCCTACCACCAGCACGTAGGCAGTCCGCCGCTGGGGTTCACTTCCCGAGCCTGACACGGATTTGGCTGCGGCTACGCTTTTCTAAGTAATGCTTCTCAGGGCTACAGACAGACCCAACGTGGTCTTCCCTTGAAGCTTCCACGCTAAACAACGACCTCTGTCCAGTCCTGGTCTGTTAAAGGAGCACGGATGCTGCCCGACTTGGAGCCTGCCGGCACGGCACCCTTCTAGCAGCTCCACGATGACTGACCCCAAAGAGAAGGCTCCGGGACTCCAGCTGTCTCTGCTGGCCCGTGAGCTCAGGAGACGCGTGTGGCTGCAGCCCGACTCACGCAGAGTCTCCTCAGTTGCTCTGGATGGCCCCACCCTGCCTGCCTGTGTCCCCCAGCCCCAGGCTTCCTCCCAGTGCGTGCAGAGGGGGTCCGCCAGCGTTAGTGTGGAGGAGTTATTGCAGGTGTGCAGACATCACAGACAGGCTGCTGCCAATGCTCACCACGTCTGATCAACACAGTCAGCATCCCTGCAAGGAGGGGAGAAAGAGCTCAGAGACGCCGACCCGAGGACGTCTGGGCCCGGGGTGCAGGGCAGGGAGATTTGTGGTCCTAGAAGCATCACTAGTAAAAGGTCCCTCCTGGAGGCAGCGTTCGGATAAGCTTCCGGCTCCAAGAACACTGAGCATCCTACAGGCGCCGCCCTGGCCGCGCCACAGCAGCGTTAGTGACTCACTACCCCGGCCTGGGAGCAGAGACGTCAGCAGCCTTCGGGTCAGAAGACACTGTCCTCAGCCCTGCCCCAGCCACAGCTGCTCACCGGCGGCCTGAGGAAGACGGGGTAGGGTCGGGAGCAGGCGCTGAGAAGGAAAAGGAAGCTCCCTGCCCACAGCAGCCAGCGTGAACGGGAAGGCTGATGCTGGGAATAAGAAACGCTGCTTGTGAGTGGTGGCTGCTGCTCCCTCATTCAGGAAACACAACAAAGACAGCCTCATTGGCGTGCTTCAAAATGTACTAGCTGTCACTGGTTGCGATCGGAGATACGAGGCGTGTTTGCACAAACACCACTTTCAGAGGCACAGGAGCTAAGACACCTCAGAGTCTCTCAGAACTCTCCCAGCCACACACCCACAGCCCTCCACTCTGCAGGCTCTCTGGTCCAACCTCAGCCTCCACACCCGCCCACCCCGCCCACCCTGCCACAGCCCAAAGGCACCTGCAGTGGTGCTTCCTGCTGGCGAGCCAGAAGGCACTGTCACAGGCATAGCAGTGAGCAGCCAGGTGGTCAGGGAGCCAACGAGTCATCTGTGAAACAGAAGGGGCTAGGTTAGTGAGCGGGACAGCCATGCCCGCTGAGCCAGTAGAGCCGTGCTAGGGGTGGCGGAGTCACGAGGACATCGGCTCCCGTGGCACCAGCCTAGCAGGTCAACAGTACAAGAAAGGCGTCCAATCGCTTCCCTGGAGACAGTGGCAGGCAGCAGCACGTGGGTGGCTGTGAGCTGGCAAAGCCCCAGTTGATAGAGGCAACGAAGAGAGAGGGCCAGCTAGCCGGGTCTCCCTGGCTCAGCAGTGATGGGCTTAATGTGGGTTCCCAGGAGCTGAGATGGCACGGGCTCAAGGCTACCTGTGCTGTGAGGGTCCTCCTTGTCCAGGGGCATGGGTCAGGGGTGGGTGTGGAGAAGAACTACAGAACAGTTGCATGGATGGCACTCAGAGCAGGGGCTGAGCCTGTACCTCCGTGTCCTGTTTATCCACCTGCTCCCAGCTGGCTTCAGAGAAAATCTCTGTGCTGCAGTGAGACAAACAGTTCTGATCCAGATTGCTTTCCGAGTCGGGGATTGAAGTCTGTTGGCAAACAAACAAAGCTGAGCAGAATGAACCTGGACTCCTCCCAAAAGAAGAAAGGGCTTGGTGAAGAGGCAAGCCCGGGGGCTAGGGGCAGGCCTGAGTGTCAGGGCTGCCGAATCTGTGGATGCATCAGCCATCAAGAACTGTGTTGAACAGGTGCGGAGACAGCAGAGCTCCGCTGAAGAGGGGACATGGGTTATGTGGAAAGGCAGGCCTTAGGATTCCAGGAAGTGAGTGGAGGAGGTGACCAGGATGGAGAGGGAACTCCGAGTGTCAGCTGCTTCACTGGGCCGGTCGACCCACTTGGTTAGCACTGAGTGTCTGGGTCATGCCCTCCTTTCTCTGAAGGATTCTTCGGGGAAAAGCAGAAACCACCATTGGCATGAAGCAAAAGCCAAAAAGTCGTTTGGAAGTGAAAGTCATTGGATGTGCCCGCCTTTAATGTACGCTGACTGCTTCCGAGCCAGGCTCACACCGAGTCAGACCCACCCAGAGACAGCACCCCCTGACAGCCTCCCTCTGGGACGCTCAGTTCTGGCCACCGAGCCCCATCAGCGCTAATTCCTCACCCGTGCAAGGAACCAAGTCTTTTCCTCCATCTCTACTGCTAGTACCTGACACAGGATGAGTACACATATTTTGCTTAGAAAGAACTAAACCTTCAAAGCTGTAGCCCACGTGTGGAAGGGCCAACGCCCTACAATGCCTTCTGCCAGCATCTGAGCCTCTCCGAAGAGAGGGCATCCAGTCCGCAGCGCGAGCCGACGCGTCGCTTTCCCTGGCGTCTGCACAGGGAGCAGAGCGGCTGAGAGCAGAGGCTGAGCTGCTCCCGTGGCTGGGGCTGCCGACCGCCTCTCTCCCTTGGGCTCCTCTGGACCTCCCCCCCCCCAGCACGTGGGCACACGGGGCACGCAGGCTCGCTAGGCCATGCCCGCGTCCACGATGGAGGAACCACTGCCTACTCACCACTTCATCCCCAAAGTCCCCATTGAAACGCAGGGAGCTGCTCAGGTACTGGCTCTCCAGTCGACTCTTCAGCTCCTGAACCTGCTTCTTCAAGGTCTCCACTTCCTGCTGGTGGCCCGACTCGATCTGGCGCAGGCGCTGCTGGATCGTGTCCGTGTACACAGGCATGCCGTCGTCGTCCAGGTGGCTGCGGGAGGGCTGGTCGGGACTGCTGGCTGCAGACGGCCTCCCGGAGTGGCTGTGCAGCCATCTGTGGGGCACGCTCCTCGAGTGCAAGTGGGCAGAGCCGCAGCTCACGGCAGACAGCTGGCGGCTCAGAGCGTCCTTGCGCCTACCAACCTCCCCGTTGGCGCAGTGCCCGTTGAGTGTGGGGTACTTGGCGAGCGTGCTAAGCCCCGGGGGCAGTTCTGAGGCCTTGTTTTCAGCCTCTAGGGCCCCATTGCACACAAGCCCCTCTTTACATTCAGCTAAAGGCAAGGCACAAGGGGCACGCGTGGGGCTGAGAGTGCTGCCAGGGGGAGTCCTGTGCACCACAGGCCCGATCTGGGGCCTCTCCAGCAGGTTCCCCTGCGAAGGCCCGGGCCCCGTGTCCTTGCTGCTGTTTACCAGGCAAGGTCCGGGACGCACTTGGGGCCCACTTGCTGACTTCGCCTCCTCTTCTGTTAACATGTCCATGGAACTGTCCACATTTGGTCCTCTGGTCTCAAGTGGGACTTGGGAAAGTAGCAGAGAACTAGACTGTGAGGTACCATAGCCGACTTTTGCATCTACTGGGACCGGAAGAAGGGTTTCCTCCCTCCCCTCCGTAGTGTCTGCTATCTGCGGCTGCTCCACACGGGCCTCCTGGGCGTCCTCCCGCCCCGACGGGACAGACGGGACAGACGGGACCTGCTGAGACCTGGGGGGGACACTCTGCCCGCCCTGCTGCTCAGGAACAGCCTGGGCAAGCAGAGACAGGCTCACGCCCACATGGCTCCTCAGGGCAGCATCCTCCAGCCCAGGTTCTTGGTGAGGCACCACAGCCGAGCCGTCCGCTGTCCTCCTCCTGCTCTCCCTTCCTAAGGACGCCTCCTCCTCTTTGTCCTCCTGTGTGGCGCAGCCCCTCCTATGAGCAGGCTCCTCTCCCCCGCTCTCCTCTTTGGTGGCTTCTTGCAAAATGTTCTCCATCTGCGCTTCCACTACCCCGGCCGCCACCGACAGCTCGGCGCCCCCCAGCACTTTGCTGGGCTTCCCAAGGCCGTCCACGAGGGGCTCCTCTCCCGAGCCGGCCAGGCTGCTCAGTTCCAGCGAGCGCCGGTGCTCCTGCCACTTCTCATTCAGGCTGGGGTCGCTGCTGCGCCGGCTGGCCAGAGGCAGCGTGTTGTCACAGGCTGAGGGCAGATTGTCGAACGAGCGTGTCTTTGGTAGCCTACAAGAAAGGAGTTTGAGGGCAGCTCGTCAGAGGGGAGGGGAGACAACAGCTTTAAGAAGCAGCTCTTCTGTCATCGGGTCCACTACAGCCCCTCCCGGCGCCGCAGCATCTCTGAGGCGAGGCTCAGACTGCCAGAGCGGCAAAGCCGAGTCCTGCTTCCAGTCTGCACCGCCCGCCTGCTGCCCCTACATACACACAAGCGCATCGAAAAGCTGCTGTAAAGAGACGTTCCTCGTGATGCTGCTGTTTTTCAGCAGTAGCACTGCTCAGTTTTTGATGCAGTATTTTAAATGAACTTATTATCTATCAGTCTGAATTTAATAAAGGTAATTCAGAAGTGGCAAAGCCAAATTCTCCACCACCTGACAGCATCTATCTTTCAAGCCTCTGAAGACAACTGGGAGGGAGGGAGGAACGCAGGGTGGCGGTAACAAAGGAGTCAGGGACTCGCTGCACCCGAGCCATGCTCGACACTGACAGGGCCCTCCCACCTCCCTGAGCAAACCCGGAGAGCTCAGAAAGATGCTGCACGGTGAGCCCCCATCATGCTCTCGGAGCACGCCTGGGCACGGCCCGGCACGGGAACACGCCACACGACTGGAGGCTCACCGGCTCAGGGGGGGGTCATCGGGGCTGGTGCCTGGAGCTGGGTAGGGTGCGCAGCTGTCATCCGCAGGGGTGGACGGGGACGGGCAGGGCAGGTACACCGCACTCCACAGCATCAGGTTACGGACGTGGCACACAGGGTACAGCACCTGGAGAGAGAAGGGGACATGGGCTTAAACATGTCCAGGGAGGAGTCGGAACAAGCAGGCAGCTCCAGCACCCACCAGGCCAGCCCATTCTCAGCAGGGAGGGGCCCCTGGCAGCTACAGGCCTTTCTAGAATAGGACTAAAGGTTTCATCCAGCAAGATTTTCCAGCCAAGAGCTCTCCTGGGTACGAAAAGCCATAGGCTTTTTCTCAAGACCTGTCTGCATTAATTACTTCTCAGGTCACCTTTCCTGAATGAATGACTTTTGTCAGCTTGATTTGTTGCTTTTACTGCCTAAGAAAGTGAGTCATTTCGTTAGGTGGTGATTGTCCATTTCCTTGGAACAAAAGCTTGGCTGCAGCAGACACTGTCGAACCTGTTTTATAGGATCATTTAAATTCTCAGGTGAAGAGGAGGGAATTTTTTTTCCTGGATTGTTACTTTCCTAGCAGGCACAGTAAAGAAAAGTGAGAAGCAGTTGGTTTAATGGTTTTTTCCTCCCCCACAACTTAAACATGAACAGTCCAGCAAAGCAGTGTAGCCTCTGCTAAGCCTCCTCCTGACTTCTTTTGGGTTAAGATGCATTCTGACACAGGGAACAGAACGGGAACAGTGACAGAGACATATGCACCGCCCTTTCTCTGCTTGACTGAAGGTATTCCTTTGGGGAACAAAGTCTTACGGGCCTGCCAGCTCGCATGTCAACAGAGAATCACAGGCACATGTGCCAACATCAGATGCAGTTTTTTGCTGAAAGAGAAGCTGCCGTGGCTATCAGCACTGGGCACATGGAGAAGGGGCTGGGAGTCTGGCAGCAGCTCCTTCTGTGTGACCAAGCACATCCAGAAAACAACTTGAGTGCCTCTTCCGCCCTTCAACTGGAATATGCTAGGAGCACTTGGTGGCAGACTCTGGAGCATTCACCATCTAAGGTGACAACGTTAGAAATGTGTATGAAACCATCCCAAACAAAGGGTGGTGAGGAGCTGGTCAGAGCATCACCAGGAAGCCGGCTTCCCTCAGCATAGTATGGTTGGGGAGAAAAATGGAGCCAATTCATCTAGAGACAGCACACAGGCCTTCCTGGGTGGGTGTTGTGACACACCAGGTTAAACTGCCACTTGGGGTACTGGCGTCCCAAACTGGAGTACCTGGTTCAAGTCCTGGCTACTCCATGCTTCCAATCCAGCTTCCTGTTAACGCACCTGGGAGGCAGATGACGGCCCAACACCTGTGTCCCTGACGATCATGTGGGAGACCTGGATGGAGTTCCTGCCTCATGGATTCAGCCTGGTCTAGCTTGGCTACTGCCAGTATTTGGGGAGTAAACCAATGGATGGAAGATCCTCCCCTCATTTCCACCCCCACACCTCCCGCCTTTCAAATAAATAAGTCAATCTTTAAAAATCATCAGTACTCAAAAAGGCTCCAGCCCCTCCCCTGGTCACAATGCGAGGATGAAGGGTACGTACGGCTTCTGACTGAGAGGAATACAGCAGGTTTTTGAAAGCCTTGTTGCCTGCCCGAAGAAGCGACCACACAGAACATGTCCGCTCCTGAGTATGCTTCTCCCCTCTCTCCTTGGCATTGTTGCACAGGAATGTTCCAAAGAGGCAGGAGTAGGTGTGCTGCACCAGTTTCACCTGTGAGAGTCCAACAAGTCAAAAGTCAAGCAATCGGGCATCACATCCTACAGCTGGGCCAGTTTACCCTGATGTCCCCGAGGGCACTGCAGCTCCCTGGGTCAGGATGGAGTGGCCACAGTCACTGCACACCACCAACTGCTGCGCCCAGGCCCGATCACCAGCACTCCTCAGTCAAGGACGGACTGCTGGCAGCCGCACTCTTCCCAGTTTCCCTGGCAAACGGTCTCCAAGATTCTAAGCCGTTCTCACGAGTGACAGAGCAGATCAGCTGGGGCAGGTGCAGGTCAGTGCTCAACTCACGCCTGAGCTGACAGCACACTTGTTAAACTACTCACTCACTCAACAAGTCATTACTGAGCTTTGCCATGCCCCAGACAGGACCACAGGCGGGGGTCTGCAGCAGAACCAGCCTGCCCTCTTGCGCTGCTGACACTTGCTCTCCTGGGAGGGGTGGATCAGGGCTACGGAGAACAAGCATGCTGAGGGGGGGCGGGGCAGTGTGCTGAGGCCTGAGGGAAGTGCGACAGAAGCTCACATGAGCAGCGGCACACACAATGACTGAGGCGGACACAAGACTGCAAGGAGGCTGCACAAAGGCGTCCCAGCAGGAGATGAACCGCTTCAAGGAGGCCCTGGCAGTCACTAGGACTTTGACTTTGGCTTTGAGCAGATGTGTGGCATGGTCCGTCTATGTTTTAGAGGGATCACTCTGCTGGGTTGACTCTCTGGAACCAGGGTGGGAGGTGTTGGTGGCATGGACGAGCGTGGCACCAGCAGAAGTGGAAACAAATCGGGTTTTAGAAGTATTTTTAAAGCAAAGCTGCAGAATCTGACAGACTGAAGTGGAGTGGAATTTTTGCCCCTGACAAATCAAAGGATGAACTGCCTGACACTGAGATGAAGAACTCATGGTAGATCAGGTTTTGAGGTACAGAGCCATAAAAGTCAAAGAGGTAAGTTTTGGGGGCTGGCGCTCTGGGGTAGCAGGTAAAGCCACCTCCTGCAGTGCTGGCATCCCACATGGGCTCTAGTTCAAGTCCCAGTTGCTCCACTTCTGATCCGGCTCTCTGCTTCTAGCCTGGGAAAGCAGCTGAAGATGGTCCAAGTCCTTGGGCCCCTGCACCCCACATAGGAGACCTCAAAGAAACTCCTGGCTCCTGGCTTCAGATCGGCCCAGCTCTGGCTGTCGTGGCCATTGGGGAGCGAACCAGCGGATGAAAGGCCTCTCTCTCTGCCTCTGCTTCTCTGTAACTCTGCCTTTCAAATAAATAAAAATCTTTTATAAAAAAAAAAAGTTATGAACCTAAGTTTGAAATGCCACTAGAACAACTAAGTGTGTTGAGGTACCAAGCAGTCACAGTTGGACATGTTGAGTCTGGAGTCAAGCGGAGAAGGCATCTAAATGGGGTCGGCAGTTAAAGCCAGCAGACTGCATGAGAGGAGGAGACAGGAGCAGCGGGGTGGGGGTCCTCCGAAGACCACTGAGGTGAGAACAAACACTGAGCACCTGGAGGTCCACTGCTACATGGTAACGAGGGATCAAAGAGATGGAGCCGAGAGTGGCTTTGGTGAAGTGATGGGGGCGAGTGCCGGCTGGAAGGGGTTTGAGAGGAAGGGACAAGAGGAACCTGAGAGCAAGCACAGAAGACGGGGTTCCGCTGCGAAGGAGACCACCTCCGCCAAGGGGGGAGGTGACGGGAGACGGGTGATGGCGCGGGCATTGCTGTGGCCGGGATCTCAGAGAGGGAGCGCACGCAGATGCAGCAGGCAGTGCGCGGACCCCGGAGCTGGCAGAGCAGATGAGCGGGGAGGGGAGCGGGTCCTCAGAGGGAGAGAGGCTAGAAGAGGCAGGGACAGTGTGGCCTGGGGAAGGATGGGGGCAGAGAGCAATCAGTCAGGTGTGGGGGCTTGGGAGACGGCCTGGAGGGCACACAGGACATTCTGACTAGAACTGCTCTTCGAGATTTCCATCATCCCTTTTTAAAGCCAGATTTAAAACTGCCCAGGGCATTGATGCACACCTGGTATACCTGGATTCACTGAGTAAATGGCTGTTTACTGTCACTTTTAAACAACAATGGGAGAAAACACTGCCCTCTCTGAACTTCTGAAAGCACCGCGCAGGCTCCCGTGCACATGCCCCGTGGAAGGACGAGGAGCTGAGACTCACGAGGAACGCCTCGTTGAACTCCAAGGAGCACGGAAACTGCCTCTGCAGCTGGTGGACGCAGTCGAGCCACTGCAGGAACACCGGGCACCGCTCGTTCAGGTCGTCGGAGTTCTCCCCGTGACCACACCGGTCAGCGAACTTATGGCCAAAATCCAGCCACTCCATCTCCACGAGGACCTGGAAACCCTGCAGGGAAGCAGCCGTAAAAGACCGTTTGTGCTGGCCTGTCCAGGCCGGGACAGTCCTTAGCCTCTGTCGCTGACACCAGTCCCTCTGCCAGCCTCCCCGATAAGCCCACCTGAAGAATCCGCACAGACAGCGACCCCCCCGGTCTCCTCCACTCCACTCGAACCGCTGCAAGGTACTAACCGGGCACTCGTCTAAGCCCTCACGAGTCTGTTTCAACTTTTAGCCTCTTGGACTGTCTAAAAGCTCCCCTCCCACAAATTTTTTTTCCAATTTCTCTATTTGGGGGAATTTTTACAATGTCAGAAAAATCCTTCCCCACCCCCCAATTTTACAAACCCTCACATATTTTAGAGCACGTCATGGTTTTTCAACCCAATAGGCGGTAATTTTCAAGTAGGCACCTTTCCCACGGAACATCTGGGGCAGTACAGAGACCCGTTATTGTGACAAGTGAGCCAAGATCCTTTTCCAGAACCCGTGTCCCTGGGCTCAACTCCCAAGTACAAGGTCTCGAAGGAAAACAGGTCCTCTCAGTATCTTGTCACTCAATCTGCCCCATTTTAAGAAGTAAAAGGACTGTGGTAGGCACCACCACAATTTATCTCAAGGTAAAGGAACTATGATTTAAAAAACAAAGAAATTTCCCTTTCTTTGGAGCGAATCCTAACTCCCTAATCTGAGCACAGAACCCTCCCAGAGGCCCGCATTCTGCACCCACTTTTCGGAGGCTCACCTCGATGGTGCGGTAGTAAGGGTCCAGCAGGAGCTTAGCCAGCGCCACTATCTGCGGGGTGCGGTCCCAGCCGTCGGAGCAGTGCACGAGCACCGGCCGCTGGTCGCGGTCCACAGCGTGCACTACGAGAAGGGCGGACTTCAGCAGCACAGACAGGTGATGGAGCCATTTCGTGCTTTCCAGAGCTGACAGCCAACTAGAGGAACGGGAGCAGATGCTGAAATGCTGGCTTTCATGACTGGCTGGATCATGCCCAGTGCCTGTCAAATTACAAAGCAACTCCCAAGACTTTTCTCTGCAAATAGACTACACTAAGACAAACAGAAATCTGTGTTTATATAGCATGTCCAAGAATGAGACCCCAAGCCCTATTATGCAATAGAGGAATGTTTTAAAAATAAGGATGGTAATTAACAGGATGACCTCTGGTTACAAAATCTTTACAGATAATCTCCCAGAGAAAATTAGTATTTAATATTTTTCAGTCCATGATAGGAATATATAGTGTAACTCCTTCCAGAATTTTCTCCTAAAGGAAATATAGCCACGAAGATGTAAAGTAGAAGATATTTGTTGTATTCAGTGATAATCAATTATGCCCAACAAGATCTCAAAAAAAAAAAAAAAAAAAGGCAGTAAACTCACAAAAGCAAGACTAGAATGAGAAGCGGGCTGGATGCTGCTTACAAGAATGCCTGTTACCCAGACCTAACACCCACACCCACCATGATGTGACATGGGATGGGCCAACCTGATGTTTTACATAAATTAGTGCCCCAGTGACCACACAGTACTGCGGAACCCAGGCTGTATTCAGCAAGGTACTAGAAGAACCTTGTTTTCCAAAAACCTTCAAAAGTATCAGCAAGAATTGTTTCTTGGGAATAATCGCGAATTGATCACAATTTTGTTTTATGATTGTGTTGACACTGTGTTTCTTATGCTTCTCCTGCCGCCAACCCCCCAAAAAGAGGCATGGTTTTCCCAAATGCAGTCACATATGGAACTAACAGAAGGGGGCTCTGAGGAAGCTTTCCCAAGATGAGGCTTATTATAAAGGCCTACTGAACTTGGGACTACGAGCTTCTGGAACAGTCGAAGGAGGGAGCCTTTCCAGACAAACAGAAGGCAGTGCATATGCGCCGGTTTCACATGGATTCCTGTCCTACCAACCAGGCTGTGACTCCTCAGAGCGCTGACACTGGGTCTCGGTGCCTGGGGCACAGGGAGGAGTCGTACTGCCTAATGAACTGTACGCCTGTCATGGTTTGTAAAAATCTAATTGCAAGGCCTTCTCCTACTAGGTACCAGAGAACATTCTTTCCTGATGGATCAACTGTTTGTTCTCATTCTTCACATAGTCTTGAAAGAAACAAAAAGATAAGACTTAGGAAAGCAAGTACTGAATTATCTCCTTGCCCCTGGAGAAATGGTAAACAAGAGAATCCGTGTCCAGTTCTCCTGAACCTGACTGAACCAGCTGTACCGTCCCCGCCTACTGGAGAAGCTGCACGCCGCGGGGCCGGCCGAGGAGCTGCCCAGCGGCTTCTCACTCCCTGTCCTGTTCTGAAGCTGGGGCGTCCTCTGGCGCCCCAAGCACATGTTGAAGGCTTACTCGTAGCTGGTCCCACTACTGCAGTAACTTCTTTAGATCCACAAAGGAAGCTTCAAAGCTGCATTAGCATTTGCTGCCAAGTGCACACCAAGCATCACCTCTTCTTTAAAAAAACACAACACGTGCAGGCATTTGGACCAGGTGCAGGTTAACATGACAATGTTCTCAGTAAATGAGACAGCAGTTACTAGAAGGTATGAAAGCAACTAACCTAATGACAACTGCATCCTTGTGAGTTTAAAAAACAGCTTTTTAATAAAGAATTTCAGTATGTGGAAGGTATTAGACATCATGTGGGACTGATCCTTCTTTTTGGAAAACTGGGACCCACACCACTGATCAAGGTCACACAGTCACACAGTCAGTTCCCGGCAGACTCCCTGAGTGCTAAGCCCCACCCCCACTGTAGGGAGTCCCGGAGCAGGAGACACGGCTCGTCCCCAGCGGGAAGCGGCGAGCGCCTTTGTGGGGCCAGGCCAGCCCCGAAGGACAGTGCTCTGCGTCCAGCTGCGACGAACTGCACGGCTTGCTGCTGGGAGGAGCAGCACAGAGACGCAGGAGGAGCGCAGCACGGCTCACTGCAACCCTGAGCGCTACGCAACAGGAGCCACGGCAACAACTGTGGGCTCAGCGCAAGCCCCAGAACAAACAAAGTTCTGTCTTCCCTGGCTTCCTGAAGTAGCAAACAGTTATCTGTGTATCTGTCTTTCACAACAGTCTTCCTAACTTCTCACATATTCAAACAGTACTCTGGGAGAAGGCAGATCTTTACCTTCCTCACTGCGAACGCCAGTCATTCATTTTTAATAAGCACTAAAAGTCATGGTAATGTTCTCAGTAAATAAGAGAGCAGCGCAGAAATTGGAAGCAGATATAAAAGGAAATGACCTAACAAATTTAATCCTTTTAGAACATGATGAATTTTGACTGGTAAGTGCCACAGGACATCAGAAATCAAATAATTAAATTACTCTGCACTGAAAACAATGTGAGAGAGCTCCTCAGAACAAGGAGACACTTCTGCGCTGGGGTCTGAGCTCTGTGCTGTGTTTACTTTAAAACCTTTCAAAGGGTTACATTTTCTTCCTAGTATCTCCTATGCGCTGCTATGTTCCTGACCCCGGAACAAGAGTACCCAAAAAGAATGAAAGTACAACAGAAGTTCACTAGGAAATAGAAGCAAAGACACCTAACTCAATTTTGTTTAAAAAAAAAAAAAAAAAAAAAAAGCAAAATTAGAGCCATAGCCAAGGTCTTACTTTCCCGGATCCGGCATCTGTGTACACAGCAATCGTAGGGACTGAAAACTTCTCCGAATAGAATGAATGTTTGCCATCCCCATAAACACCACTTCACAGTTCGGGTAGTATTCTGAAGAGAGTAACAATAAAGAGAACATAAATATATTGAATTTAAAGCCCACATGGCCAAATTTAAAAGAAACAAGCTGGCTATAAAACACACCCATCACGGCTGGCGCTGCAGATCACTAGGCTAATCCTCTGCCTGCAGTGCTGGCACTCCGGGTTCTAGTCCCAGTTGGGGCGCCGGGTTCTAATCCCGGTTGCCCCTCTTCCAGTCCAGCTCTCTGCTGTGGCCCGGGAGTGCAGTGGAGGATGGCCCAGGTCCTTGGGCCCTGCACCCGCATGGGAGACCAGGAGGAAGCGCCTGGCTCCTGGCTTCGGATCGACGCAGTGCACCGGCCGTGGTGGCCATTTTTTGGGGGAGGGGGGTAACCAACGGAAAAAGGAAGACCTTTCTCTCTAACTCTGCCTGTCAAAAAACAAAAAACACACCCATCATAGCAGCTAATGCAGCTGTAGTGTTAGCCCAGTGTTTTAAAAGACAGTGCTTAAATTCTAGTTTTGCAAAAAGGGTGAAAAAGAAAGTTTAAGTTGTAAAAAGATACATAAAAGTGAGTGCTGTGGCGTAGTGGATAAAGCTGCTGCCTGTAATGCCGGCAACCCATACGGGTGCTGGTTTGAGTCCCAGCTACTCAACTTCTGATCCAGCTCTCTGCTATGGCCTGAGAAAGCAGAAGGTGATCCATGTCCTTGGGCCCCTGCACCCACATGGGAGACTTGGAAGAAGCTCCGGGCTCCTGATCAGCCCACCTCCGGCTGTTGCGGCCATCTGGGGAGTGAACCAGCAGATGGAAGACCTCTCTCTCACTCTCTCTACTTCTCCCTAACTCTGCTTTTCAAATAAAATAAATAAGTATTTAATAAAATAAAAAAATTTAAAAAGAATGCAATAAAAAAAAAAAAGCTGTTATCTTTTAAGAGGCAGACCTATAAACTTCCATCTCGCCCACGATTTCATTCCTGATCCTCATCGACACCTTGTAGCTTCGGAATCTCATTGCAAAGACCCTGGCAGAAGAACCCCTTCAAGCGTTCTGATTTCACCCTGGTACCACTTCCAGTGCCCAGCTCAGCTCACACCCAAACACAGGCTCGCAGCCTCTTTTCGTGCCACCAGACTCCAGTTAGTGCTGAGGTGGCCCCCTCCTGGGGGTATGCCACCTCTGTCTCCACCTCCATTTCCAGGGAGTGTGCCAGGAGGCGGGTGATGAGGACACCCACCGTCACAGGCAACAGGAAGCCAGTGGACAGGCCTTACCGCAGGGCACTGCTTCCCTCACACGTGGGGCCAGCACAGGGCTCGAGAGGACCTGGCCGCACTGCACTTCCCTTTTTCTTTCTCCTCAGAAAAAAGTGCACAGCGTTAAGAACCCAAAGAGAAGCTCTGGCTCTCTCAAGACAGGTCCAGACTGGGAGCCAAGCCTAGGATGGGCAGGAGCTGGACTCAGACAGTCGGGGTACGGGGTGGGGTCAGGGGACAAGGCACCACACACCTCACCTGGGCATTCGCAACCTCCTCCTTTAGCTCTGTTTGCCACAGCTGCTGCATAGGATCGTGCATCCAAGATCAAAAGCTTCTGTGGTTGGATGGCTAAACTCTCTGCTCCTGAAGCATTTGACAAAGAGGAATCTAGGGACACAGAGAGGGGAGGGGACTACATGAGCCTTTCCCTCCCAGAACTGTGCAAACTTAAGAACTGCAGGTGTGTGTTGCAGTATTAAACAACAACAAGTCAGTACTGAAACTCTAACTACAACCCCATGATACACGGACTTCTCTAATTGATTTTCTATTTTGCCTTCTTATTAAGAGATGGTAAGGATTTATGCTTCTGGGACACCCATGAAAACCCACACAGCCCAATCTCCCATACCTCATTTTTAAACCCACAGTCCTCTCCTGAAGTGTGGCACCCACCCCCCACACTCCATTGTTATCACAATGGCAAAAAAGATGACAAACACTAAGTGCTCAAAGCTTGAAATAATGGGTTTCCTGGTTCTCTGCCAAGATCCACTACTCCTCGCACAATCCCTCAAATGAAGCTTCAGACACTCTAACAAAATCGTGTCTTTTAAGGAAAAAAAGACCATTTCAAGAAAGAGCTCTCCGATGCTGTGAAAGTTGGTGCCATGGGTCCTGGGAGCACCTTACCAAACTCCACATCTGAAAGGTCTCCCCCACTGGCAAAGTCCCGAGCAGCGTTCCTGGTCGACAGCTTGCTGCCACTCGATCGGGAGTCAGAGGCACAAGCTTTGGCTACTGATTGCACCAGGTGTTCATCGTCTGCATTTCGCCAGCCCCACCAGCTGACCTCTGGCTGTCCACAGCGGGCAATGACAGCGCCATTGCTCTGGTGCCTGTGTAGGGAACAAGAGACAACAGCTGTACTGATACCAGAGGCCCCCGTCAGATGCGCTGTGGTCACACAGAAACTAAGGGAATGGATTTCCGACGCCTCACTCAGTAGCATGACTCTAGGTAACACGCGACTGCGTTGACTCCAAGGCCTCTAGGTATTAAAGAGGGCAGAGGGGCCAGTGCTGTGGTGTAGTTGCTACAGCTGCCACCTGCAGCGCCAGCATCCCATACGGGTGCCCGTCTGAATCCCAGCTGCACACTTCCTATCTAGCTCCCCGATAATGCACCTGGGAAAGCAGTGGAGAACGATCTCTGTGTGGGTCCCTGTACTCACTAAGGAGACCCAGAAGTTCCTGGCGTCAGACCAGCCCAGTTCCAGCCATTGTGGCCATTTGCGGAGTCAACCAGCACATGGAAGATTTTTCTTTTTCTCTTTCTAACTCAGCCTTTCAAATAAATAAGTAAATCTTTAAAAAGAAATGCAGATATGTAGAAAGTAAAATTTAAAAAAATCATACACTAACAGAAATAAACAATATGACATATATGAATCTTTCTTATCATACCATCAGAAAAATCTCTGTAAAGTTACTAACAAAATGGTAAGCATGTACTCTTACAGAAAATAACAATATTCATAATTTAAATGTTTGAATATTCAAATCTGTTTTTGGGAAATAAAGTATAAACACCCTGATGTAACAAATGCAAAAACAGAAAAATGCGTTGTCTCATTGACTTTTTTTTAAAACTCAATGTACGTCTCATTTGGTTGTTGTTGTTTTTTTTTAAGATGTATTTATTTATTTGAAAGGAGGGGTTACAGAGGCAGAGGCAGAGAGAGAAAGTGGTCTTCCACGCTCCTAATAACCACAACAGGTAGAGCTGAACCAATTCGAAGCCAGGAGCCAGGAGCTTCTTCCAGGTCTCCCACGTGGGTGCAGGGGCCCAGGTCATAGCAGACAGCTGGATTGGAAGTGGAGCAGCCGGGACTCGAACCGGCACCCATATAGGATGCCAGCATTGCACACAGTGGCTTTACCTGCTACGCCATCCATTACAGCAACTGTATGCCACGGCTGGCTTAGAGAGTCTTCTCAAAATAAGATCCCACCTTTGGACTGAAGCACCTGGTCCACAGCAATTGCTTTATAAAACTCCTGAGATTTCATGAGTCACCAACTGCTTTTATTATAGGTGGATAGCTCAGTGAGCCAGCTATCCTTCCTCAGGCTCTCAGAAGCAAAGTAACAGGATCAACCTGGTAAACCGTACTCTGATGGATCCTTTATTCAGAAACAGCAGAAAGCATACGCCTTATATAAAAATGCTACTAAAACCCAAACATTAAAAAAATAGAAAAATGAAATGAATAAAGGGGCCAGCATGTGGCACAGTGGGATGTGATGCTGGCATCCCATGTGAGTGCTGGTTCGAGTCCCAGCTGCTCCACTTCTGATCCGGCTCCATGCTAATGGCCTGGGAAAGCAGTAGAGGGTGGCCCAAGTCCTTGGGCCCCTGTACCCATGTGGGAGACCCCGAAGGGGTTTCAGGCTCCCAGCTTCAGCCTGGCCCAGCCCTGGCAATGGCAGTCATTTTGGAGTGTACCAGCAAATGGAAGACTTCTCTCTCTTCCTCTAATTCTGCCTTTCAAATAAATAAATCTTAACAAAAAAAAGCTTTTCCTAATTACGCAATTTTAGCAATTAAAAAGTCGGAAAAATGATATTACTTTGCAGTAAAAATAAAATTCTGATATAAGCTATAACACTGATGACCCCACATGTTAAGTGAAAGCAGCCAGTCACAAAAGGCTGCGTGCTGTGTGATTCCATTCATATTAAGTGTCCAAAACAGGCAAATCTATAGAGACAGAAAGTAAATTACTAGTCCCTCGGGGCTGGGGAAGGCAGGGTGAGGAGGGAATGGAGAGTGACTACTAATGGGTATGGAATTTCTTTCTAGGCTGATGAAAATGTTCTGCACAACTCCGAATACAGTATACTTAAAGTTCACTGAATTGTACAATTTGAAACAGTAAATTTTAGGTGGCACATTTCAATAAAGTTATAAAAGTAATCATGGGTGCAAGTTGAGCCACCACTTGGGATGCCCACATCCCACATCACAATGCCTGGTTTAAGCCCTGGCAACTCTGCTTCTGCTGCGCCTCCCTGCTGATGCACCTGGAAGGCAGCAGACGATGGCTCAAGAGCTTGGGCCCCTGCCACCCATGAAGGAGACCACGACGGCATTCCAGCCTCCTGGCTTCAGCCTGGCCCTAGCTGTTGTAGGCATACGGGGAGTGAAGGAAGCACAGGCCCCTCTCTCACTGTCACTCTGCCTTCCAAGTGGATGAAAAGTGTTTTTTAAAAAACAATCAGTTCATTGTAAAATAAATCATCATAATAAAAAGCTGGTAAGCAAAAAAATTTAAATGCCCCCAAATTCTATATCCCAGAAGAAACTTAGCGTGTATTTTCTTTAGAACTGTTTCTAAATACATGTACGCACACATGCACAAATACGTATGGCAGATGGATTTAAAATCATACTACCCAATCTGTCTTCTTTGGGGAATATGAGAAATATTTTCATTTTAACCCTAAAACTCACAAGTTATAAATTAAATTTGGCAATTAGCAGTTTGCTTATAGTTTTTAAATCCTTTCTCACTGGGAAAGACAAGCAACTGAAAACACTTGCATGTCATCAACACACTCAACTAGCTCACGGGCTGAACAGGGCCAAACTAGAAAAAAACCTCGCTGTTTCTTAAATGCCACCTAGCAGGTGACGGCCCAGGCAGCCGCCGCGCTGAAGGGCTGCAAACCGCTGCAGCAGAGGTCTCTCCGAGCCTTCTCCTCTGCACGCTGCCCAGCAGTGCGTGGGAGAAACAACAGGTGGCACTCTGAGGCCTGGGTCTTCAGCTTTAAGGGCCACTGGCATTCAAACAGCTACACTTCTGCTGGGCTACTGAAATGAGCGCTTACCTGTCTCTCCTCTTTAGATTTTATGAAAGGTAACTCAGACACTACAGCGAACAAATCACGGAACAAAAGCATTTGTCTCACTTAAACAGAACCAGGAAAGTATAAAAGTTGAGATGGCCAATGGATAAATACCTGTAACTGTTTAAAACAGAGTGCTCCAATTTTACACAGAAGTACAGAACTGCTTTGACTGTCCTGAGCTGAGTCAGGCAAGCTCCCGACGTGCCTAGGAGTTTCTAATCCTCAGCACACGCGCAAAGGGGGAGCTGGGAACTGCACCACAGATGGGCACCCTGCCCCATCTTGCTGTGCTGCAGCCATCTCTGCCTGCCATGGCGACTCCAATGCGCACTCCTGCCACAGCAGGGCAGCCCCAGTCCTGCCGCTTCAGTGCAGCGCTCTCAGGCAGCGGCTGCTGGCACGTGGCAGGCGGGACCACAGCGTGCACAGCTCCGCTCGTGGGGCACGGTGGTGGAGTCTTGATGTCCTGCCACATGTCCCTCCCTCACAAAGCCCCCAGGGTGCGGCTCACAGATACAGGACGCAGGACCTGAGACACACCAGTTCCAGGGAGTCTGTCAGATTTTACACGGACCACATCAGCAACTTAGATCTATCATGTTTTGAAAGCAGAGTTTTCTCTGAAAAACTGCAAATAAAAAATACTCTCTGTGTATACCCTAAGGTCTCCAAAAAACCAGGAAAAGCCCTAGGGCTCGTGCCTTTTAGAATTAAGTTTTAAAGGGGGAGAAAAAAAGGCTTCCCATTTTTCTTACTTTCTATGAAGTTTTTCTTCAACTAGGCCTGAATCGTCAGTCTTAGACTTCTCTGCCAAAAGAGTGAATTCACCATTCCCTCACTTTGGAAATGAGAGTGCTTCTGCCAAACGCCAGGACTGCTGACCTAACGCAGCTGCTGGCTGGCACGGCAGTGAGAGCTGCTTTCCCTGCCAGTTCGGCGGATCACGGACAAGACTGATAAATCCCTTCAGCTTTCACTACCCTCCAACTCCTGTGGCAGCCTTCCCACTTGAATGATAGGTAACCTTGGTGTCCTATTTTGCTAGGAGAGTCTGAAAACAGTGATGATCACTGAGATCGAAACCTGACCGGGCTCCACTGGACAGACTAAGTACCTCTCCATCTTTCTCTCTTCATGGGTGGCATCCCACTCTGCCTTCAGCAGCCTAAACGGACAAGCTGGTTACTTCTTTGGGAATTCTACAAGGAGAGAAATCCCTTCCTACACCTTCACTTCAGTGGATTACTTTGTGGTTGAAAGCATTTCTAACTAAGCCACTGGTCTGGCCCAACGCAGGGAAAAATCTGCAAACTGAGAAAAGGAAGCAGAATGGAAAGCTGGAGCCACTGCACAGCAGGAGGAGCGCCGTCCTAGAAATCCAAGTGCTTCTGGGAGAGCAGGCGTTCAGCACACAGGGTCCCAACCCCTCGGCATGCTGTTTAGAGAGCCCAGATGTCACAGCGTGTCTGCAAAGTAAGAACTCTTTCCATTTTCCTCAGCAGGGACAGACTGAAGGTGGTTAGGAAACCTGTTCAAGGTGCCGCAGTGAGAAGTGTCAGCACACACCAGAACTCGGCTCTGTAGCTCCAGACCAGAACTCGTGCTTTGTCACCATACTCCCAGTCCCTTCCACAACCTGTATCCCTTGGTTCTCAGGCCTCTGACCTCTGAATCTTCTATCCACTCAAGCCTCAACCTTCTTCCTCTCAAAACACACACTTAGGACTCACCACTCTCTACCCCAAAGTCCTGCTAACATCTGAAGCTAAACGCAATCAGCATATTACCTTTACCCGGGATGTGAGAAAAGGATCCTAAAACAGCAAGTGCGGTCACTTTTCTATTAAAATGTCCTCATCAGTGTCACTGAACTACTAGCTAGTGTTCTGCATGCGCTGAGTACTGACATGGTGCTACGGAACAGCTCTGGCAATATGGAAGCACAGGTCTTGCCTGGCAAATCCTGAACCCTCCCCCTCCCTTCCCAGGTGAGCAGAACACCACATGCAGTGGGCAGCAGCACCAGCCCAACCTGGGGGTGGTCTGGCTTACTCACCTGTAGACAACAGCAGGGATGCGCTTCCAGGACCTGAAGCTTGCTACGCTTTCTAGTTCTTTGTCAGTGATCCAGGCAGGCACTATGAGCTCTTGTGGATAACTCCCGCATAACCTGAGAGACGGGCGAGGGGAAGAAAAGGAGAGAGACGCTGGGTCAGCCAATACATGGGTGTTGATCTCACCATCACAGGGGCAGTGAAAAGACAAGCAGCAGTATTCCTAGGGCTTTGGTCTCCCCCCAGAGGGTTGCCTTAATTGTTTGTTTGTACATCACACTGTTCCACTTGATGCTGCCTTTTGGAAATCCGGCAACCTTCACTAGCAATGAAAAAAGAGGGCAGTCTCTATTCTCATTGTTACTGTTAGAATAAATATATTTTCACTACATGAACATGCAGTACAATTACTGGGCACCTCTAGCAGACGGTCAGTCTTTGAGGCCTTTGTCAAAGGGAAACAGGGGAAGGAAAAAGCCTACAATTTCAAGTTTCCAGAGACTTCAAAGGATTCCTGAACTCGTCCTGTGATCTGAACCAAACAGGGCATCCTACGTCCAGGAAACGGGCACGGCTCTGGGTGTGCCGAAAGAGCACTGCACGCCAGCCTCCGCTCAAACACCAGCAGCCCCACTGAATCAAGTCTGTGACGGGATCCGCTAGTGAGCACAATTTCCACAAAACACAGCGAGGGAGAACCTAACCTCAGGAGGGGAAAGCTCTCACTTCAGCAGGGCAGATGCTAGCTAACACCAGCCAAGCTAAAGCCCTGCGCAGCAGTGCTTCTGACGGGTTTTACTTGCAGGGCAGTGTCCTCCTACGGGGAACCCAACCTTCCTTTTAAACAATTTTTAAGAGAGCTCCATGCACTTGTTCATCCCCCAAATGCCCGCAAAGGCAAGAAATGGGCCAAAACTAAAACCTTCCACATGGGTGCCAGGAACCCAATTACTTGATTTATTATTGCTGTCTCCCAGGGTCTAAATCAGCAGGAAGCTAGAGTCAGGAGCCAGAGCCAGAGCCAGAGCCAGAGCCAGGCACAGCCAGGTACTCCCATGTGAGACACAGGTGTCTTCACTGCTGGGTCAAATGCCCATTCTCCCATTCTTTCTTTCTAAAAGTCAAAGTAACAAGGCCCTGAAGTGGTCTTTGAATATTTTAATAAATTTATTTTTGATAAATAATGTCATTAAAAAAAAAAGAAAGAAAGTAACAAGGCCTTTAGTCCAGATCTTAAAACATACAAACTCCACCACCACCCTGCTCCAGCCTATTTATACATCAGGAAAGAGGCAGAAAAACACAAACAGGCTTAAGACACGGGGGTTTGATCATTCTGCACTATGTATCCCCAACCCGTTCTCAATTTCCACATGTTTCAGGATATTAAAAAGCAACTGAACCATGAGAACGGCTATGGCCAAGAGTAGCTATGTAACTTCCTAACTCACAAATTGCTGAAGATAACCCGGGACACACTGACCACAGTTTATGAGTCTTGTTCCTTTGTTTCAAACTCAAGAGTAGATTTGGTTCTTGTTCTTCTTTTGTAGTAGGAAGAACTTTTTTTCTTTAAGATTTATTTATTTTACCTAAAAGGCAGAGTTACAGAGAGATCTTCGATCCACTGGTTCACTCCCCAGATGGCCACGAGGTAGCTAGGCTGTGTTGGGTTGGGACGAAGGAGGGAACCTGAAGTTTTTTGGGTCTCCCACAAGGGTACAGGGCCCAAGCACTTGGGCCATCTTCCGCTGCTTTTCCCAGTCCATTAGGGTGCTGGATGGGTAGTGGAATAGCTGGGACTCGAACCAGCCACAATGCTGACCCCAGGAAGAATGTTCCAATGTCCTGAAGACTAGTTTTGAAGTAGAACTAATAGATTCAAGGACAGGAAGTTAATTTTTAACCCTATATTAATTAGGGATTTTTATTCTAACAATTCACAGTTTCTGAGTCTACCCAATTTTCTGAACATTATATTCACTGTCCCACAAGTACTATATTACCCACTAGTCAGCTCCTCAAAGCCACCAATTGCGTGCTCATTTGTGGGTAAGCAGTTTCCAGTACAGAAAAGACGGGCTACACTCGGCCCAGCAAACAGCAGCCTCGGGCCCTCTGTGGCTGCCGTCCTCCAGCCTCCACCCTACTCTGCCTTGATTTGTTGCCGAGGACAGAGGAAGAGGACCGATAGGCAGCAGATTTGTCAGCAGGTCTTAACTCCTGGCCAAAGCCCACAGGAAGAGCTGTGTGTAGTAATTTACTACTTTTTACAGCTTTCCCGAAGACAAGTGAAATATTCAAGTAGCCAGCACAAAAAGACCAGGAAAATCATAATTTGAGGCAGCCTTTCAAATGACCAAAAGTGGTTAGTGCTACACAGAAAAACTTAGGAGGAGAATAATCTATTAACATAAAGTTCCCAATTTCCTATCATTTTATAAAATTCAAATTACCAATATCACAGTAGCTAACTGTCTCCCTCCATGAAAACACACTTACATGTTTTAAGGAAACAGGTAATGGCTAAATATTTAACAATGCTCACATTAATAATTCATAGTTAGGGGCTAGCATTGTGGTGTAGTGGGTTAAACTGCTGCTTGTGACATCGGCATCCCATATGGGCATCAGGTCCCTGTGCTGGCTGCTCTGCTTCTGATTCAACTCCCTGCTAATGGCCTGAGAAAGCAGTGGAAGATGGATCAAGTACTTGGGCCCCTGCACTGACACATGAAACCTGGAAGAAGCTCCTGGCTCCTGGATCCGGGCTGGCCCAGCCCCACGTGGGGAGTGAACCAGGGGATGGAATCTCTCAAACTCTCTCTCCCTCTCCCTCTCAATTTGTGCCTTTCAAATAAATAAATCTTTATTTAAAAAAAGGTTAATAGTTAAATGACCATGGCTATGAATTTAGTTTTAGATCAACATATTAAAGATCAGAGTAAAACTTACATCTGTTTCATAGGAACTGGAATAAAATTAAAGTCATAAAAACTAGCTCCTCAGTATTTTGTCCCTGCTAATGAGATCACTGCCCCTATCACTAAGGTGATGCCAAGTGGCAGTGGGAACAAGGGAACCTGCCTGCCCACAGGTAAAAACAGTATTATCTGGACATGCGTGTGCTAGGAAGACCAGAGGTTTGGAGGGGGTGCAAAGGAAGGTGCCAGGATCCCGTTAAGTAAGACTCACTTTCCACTCCCATGATAGCAATGGGATCAGAAGGTCCAGGAAATATTCCAAAGAACATGCACTTGGACTTTAAAATAGTTCAAGTAAAAGTCTAGGTTCCAACGTTCTGCCACATGACAACTGGGGTTTCTGCAAAGGCGCTAGCTTTGAGCCACAGTCCACAGGGACCTACATAACTCACCTGTACTTCTCATTGATGTTGGAAATCCTCCAGGCGTTGTTCATATCAAAACCCATTCGCTCCACTTCATTTTTAAACCTTGACGTTACATGTTCCCCTAGGGGACAAAGACAGACAGCAGAAAGGAAGAAATGAATACCATTTTTCAAAACGGGTGGAATAAAAGCATAGCTACTCTGCTCTAACTGTATAAATAACATTTATTTTTAGTTAAATAAAATCCCTGGTAGGGTTAACAACAGAGAGTTAAGAGGAAAGAAATTCTGACTAAGAATTATGCTACCTCATTTAATCCCTATTATCAACTCTGAGGATGGCCATCACTATGCTCTTTTTTTTAAAAAAAATATTTATTTATTCATTCATTCATTCATTCATTCATTCATCTGAAAGACAGAGAGAGATCTTCCATCTGCTGACTGACTCCTCAAATGGCTGTCACAGCTAGAACCAGGCCAGGCAAAAGCCAGGAGCCTACAACTCAATAGAGGTCTTCCAAAGAGGCGGCAGGGACTCAAATACTGCGGCCAGCAACTCCTGCTTCCCAGGAGCACCAGCAGGGAGCCGCACTGGAAGCAGGCTAGCCAGGACTGGAACTTGCACTCCAACAAGGGATGTGGACATCCCAAGTGGTAGCTTAGTTCACTGCACCACAATCACCCACCCAATGAACTCCTTTTACAGAATAAAAAAAAGAGAGAGACAGAGAGGTTGTTAAGTAGGTCTGGCCCCAAAATCCATGCTCTTGATGCCACACTAGCAACCTTCCCATTCCCACATCACAGTGATGGTACACAAATAAACAACAAGATCACTGGGGCTGGTGTTGTGGCACAGTCGGTTAAGCTGCATTTGTGATGTTGGCATTCCACACCATATGGTGCCAGTTCAAGTCCTGGCTGTTGTACAGGCGATCCAGTTCCCTGCTCATATGCCTAGGAAAACAGCAGTAGATGGTGTGAGTGCTTGGGCCCCCCACCACCCACAAGGGAAACCCAGACAGCATTCCAGCCTTCTGGCTTCTGTCTGGCCCCGCCCCAGCCATTGCAGCCACTTGGGAAGTGAACCAGTGAATGGAAGGTCGCTCGGTCTGTCTCTCTCTCTCTCTCTCTGTTAACTTTCCTTTCAAATAAACAAATCTTAACAAAACAAAACAAAACAAAACCTGAGAGCACCAAGAGAAGATACCCTGGATGTCCAACTCATCCCACATCCTCTGGGCTGGATTTTGGAAAGGGAAGGCGGTGCATGTACTACACTACAGGCTCACACACTCATCAGGGCCTACATTATTTACTTTTTCAGCAAAATGTAAGGCTAACTCACACCAAGTGAGTTATTCACTGTCCCACAGGTACTACTGTGGGACTACAGCAGCAAACAACCTTATGTTAGCCCAGGTAGGTCAAGTCACCAAACAGGGTTAAGAAAAATCACTCTGCTTTCAAAGCCTTTCAGATTTCAGAATCGCCAGTACATGGTCATAGAATCCTAACCGCCAGTCCCCAGGAGTCTTAGGAAACACCAACTACTCTGGTAACGTGCTGAGCTTTGTAAGAATGCCCACCCCAACAGACATAATCTGGCCACATTCGTCCTAATGAATTTGACTTTTTCTTCCTCGAGACAGCAACAAAGGTAGAGATGAACTCAACATACATATCAGTAACTCTGAAAAAACTTTCTCCCATAGAAACAGTCCTATAGCAGTAATTTTATTTTAACAACCATTAAGCAGAAGCTCTAATATATAGCGCTATAGGTTATAAAATAAATGTTAGCTAGCAGGGGAGCTGGGAGAAATCACAACAAATGAAACCACAGACTGCTGTGATGACTAAGGTATAAAGCTCTGCTCCCCCTGGGAGAGGAGCTATGGAACAGGAAACAGCAACTACTTGAATGAAGGACAATTCTGTAAAACTACTTCCCATTTAAATTGTTCTTCTTGCACTTAAGCTAGGTATTATACATTTCCTAAAGGAGAGCTATAAAAAGCTGAAACAAGGGATGCAGAATGAAATAATAGCTCAATCTAGCCCATTTTGGGAAAGCTTTAGAAACAGTATAGCAGCCTTCCAAACACAAACAACCATACGTGAGTGGGTGCCATCTGTCTGCAGCTTGCAAGGAAATACGAACAAGAGTAGCAGTGGGAGAGGGAGACTGCGCTACAGTGGGTTGTTGTCACTTGGGACGTCCTCATCACACATCAAACTGCTTCCAATCCAGTTTCCTGCTAACACACTTGGGAGGCAGTGAATGCTGGCCCAAGTGCCACCCACATGCAGACGTGGATGAAGTTCTCGGCTCCAGATTTAAGCCTGGCCCAGCCTTGGTTGTTGCAGCCATTTAGGGAGTAAACAGTGGATAGAAGATCCCTCTTCTCTCTATCACTCAGTCTTTCAGCTAAAATGAAGGAAGGAAGGAAGGGAGGGAGGGAGAGGGGAAGGGAGGGAGGAGAAGAAGGGAGGGAGGAGAGGAAGGGAGGGAGGGGGGAAGGGAGGGAGGGGGGAAGGGAGGGACGAGGGGGAGGGAGGAAAGGGAGGGAGGGAGGAGGGGAGGAAGCAAGTAAGCAAGCAAGGAAACACCACTAGTCAGGGAGTAGGTGTCCGCTTAGTAAAGACTCCCACTTCTATATCGCAGTGCCCAGGTTCCAGGCCTAGCCTAGCCCCCAACCCCAGCTTCTTAATAATATTGAGAACTCTAAGAGGTACCAGATGATGGCTTAAGTGGTAGGGTCCCTGCCACCCACATGGGAGATCCTGGATTGAGTTCCAGACTCCCGGCTACTGCAGGCATCTGGAATAAGCCAATGGATGGGGAGAATAAGTATCTCTTTCTCAAATAATTCTTTTAAATATCCTTTAAAAAAACCCAGTCAGGGGTCTTTCATTCATAATCCCAATCAAAAAGCTGTAAAACTCTGGCAATTTCCAAGTTCATTAATTAACGATTTTTTTACCCCACCCTGGGACACAGTCTCTGCAAAAGGTAAAAGCACTTTTATTATTGGTCTATTAACTAGTATCTCTATTTTAGGGCATTCAGATACCCTAAAAGGATCTTGATATTTTAAAATAATTGCTAGCAAATACCAACAACAGCCACCAACAACTTACTACATAGAACCACCCTCCAAAAGGAGAATGACCATCCAGAACATAAAATTCTGAGCTACACATAGAGAAATACATACTGAGTAGTGGTTACAGAAAAATCTGTTTTCTCAAGTTCCTGAAGAATAAGGAGTGAATTTTAATTATCTTGGTATCCTCTAAAGTAGTGACTTCATAAACTCTGAAACTGAATACCACAACCCACAATCAGAATTATGTTTTACATCACAATACAACATATGTTAATTTTTTAAAAATATGTTCATTTTTAAAAAAGATTTCTGGGGCTAGCATTGTTGCACAGCGGGTTAAGTTGCCACCTGTGACACCGGCATCCCATCTGAGTGCCAGTTTGAGTCCCAGTCGCTCTATTTCCAATCCAGCTCCCTGCTAAAGTGCCTGGGAAAGCAGTGAAAGATGACCCAAGTGCTGCCATTCATGAGAGACCAGAATGGAGTTCCAGGTTCCTAGCTCTGGCTATTTTAGCCACTTGCAGAGTGAACAGCAGATGGATGATCTCTCTCTTTCTCTCTCCCTCTCTCAAATAAATCTTAAAAAATAAAGGGGCTGGGGAGAAGTTTCATAATGCAGTACCCATGCTTGCTGTATATGATACACTTTGCTATTTTCTATTCTATTTTACTTCCTTAAAATTCCATTTCATGATCCACTTGTGGATCACAGCCTGCAGTTTGAAAAACACAGGTTGGAAAAAGAAAATCTAGCAGCAGATCTTACATACATGAGTAATTCAACCTGATTCTACAAACTTGGTCAGCATTCACTTTTGTTTATTTTGCCAGAAAAGTAAACCTAAACACAATTACTGCTGGATTTCCCTTAGGAATTTCCATCTCACAGTTTCCATATCTCAATCATTCAACACTGGATACACTGTAATATCTCAACTTATTTTGAATCTTGGGGTTTTAAGGTTTTTGTTTGGCTTTATATTTTCATTTCAACTTTTCCAGCCTGCCTCCCCAACTAAGTGGGGATCTGTCCCTCTCCAACATTTAGTATCACTCAAACTACAATTAACAGCCCAGCAATTCTCATTTTAGAGGAAAAGAAAACTTTTTCTAAAGTAATGAGCTCTCCGTCATAACCACAGTGCTAACCTGCAGTCTAAAAAAATCCTCCCCCCAACCCGCTGCCAAAAAAATATAGATATATAAAAAAATCTAGCTCCCTGGCCAATTCTGAGTATTCAACCCCACAATTATACAAAGGCCTAGGGTGGAAAGGACACGTGAGGATGCGAGCCAGAGAAGGTAAAAGCACCCCTCTGTCGCTCCCCCTCTTCATGGAGGAACGACACAAGACCCTGCGTTGTTCTTTCGTCTGCTCGGCCCTCCCCGGGTTTGCTGCTGGTTCTTCCCGGGTTGGCTACTGTCCCTTCCACCTCCGTGGAAGGGCGGTTCCCCCTGCCACATTCCCCACTTCCGCGGGGGAGCGGCACACCGCCGGCCGGCTCTCTCGGGGGCTACACAGGTGTTCCTCTTAGATGTTCCTCTTAGATGTTCCTGGTGCATGCCGTCTCTCTCCTCCTTTATAGTCCTCTTCCACCAATCCCAACTCTGCTACCCACACGCCGAGTACGCTGCTCTCCTCCAATCAGGAGCAGGTCCCACAGTTTATTGGTTGAACTGGAGGCAGCTGTGTAGAAGCTGTTTCCCTTCTCAGCGCCATATTGTGGGAAAGCAGATGCATAGAATAAGTCTTAATTCCAGTAACTTAGTCTAGTCCAAGTTGCTCCCAGTTGCTCCCCACACCCCTCTCCTCAGGGAAGGCTGACTACCCCCTTCAGAGTTTAACATATGGAGGGAAGAACCTTGCTTTCTAAGTCCTAAGTTCCTAGTCAGTCCTCTAGATCTATACTTCCTGGACTCAACTCAAATCTAGAAGACAAATAAACAGGCAGCTGCACTATAGTCTAAAACCCAGAGTCATTTGCTGTTCATGGATAAACCAATGTGCCTAATGGGCATCTCTCACAGGACTAGTGAAGGAAGTGAGCCCAATGTTACCACACCAGCAGCTGAGCTGCCCACCACCTGCCAGGACTTCAGATTAACACACCAGGACAGAGCCATCACCAGAATCCAGCTGCAGTGAGTGGCAGCAAGGACAAGACAAGAAGCTTGCAACTTTAAGGCCACTCCTTTTGTAGTCTGGGATGGGGCTAAGAGCAGAATGAAGAGTTTGGCAACTGCTTTTGCCACATTTACATGTGCATTCCAACAGCACTGCTGAGATTTCTTCCAAAATTGGGTAAGACATAAAGCTGTGGCCAGAGTAAGGGCAGCTTACAACTATGACAGGTTCGATACCTAGTAGGACTACCGAGGCAACATTGTAGTTTTCCCATATTTTTCTTCTCTGGTAAGCTAACTTAGTCTATGCTTGTGGTTTCATGTACCAGTGCAGATACACAAAGGTATCACTCTGAAGTATCTCAAGTGTCGTCCCACCCTCAAGATGACTTATAAGACTGTGGTTGTCTGGTATGCTCTTATTTGGTGACTAATGCTATAGCTACCACTAACATTGACCACAGTGGGTAAAAACAGAAGAATAAGATTGACTGGCTTTAAAAATGCCAACACGGACTCTTTTTTTTTTTTTTAATAAAATCAAGTTTTTCCTCTGTACTTCACAGTGAAAATAAATAAAAGAGAAAAGCCACAGATACAGACACACTCAAACTAAGCCACTGAAATACAGTAAAATCCCAGTGAGTGGTAGCAGGTAAACTTCCATGCAGATTGTATACCTTGGGAGCAAACACAACACAACCTCTACTCACAGAGCAACTTTAACCCATCAGTTACGATGGCAATATTTGGAGCTGCATCATTTCCAAAATGTTTTCAGAAGCATGGCACCCGGAGGCAATCAAACTTCACTGAACTGAACTCAACAGCATTTAAAAAGTGGTTCTTCAGGATACCTGCATCAGCTTGGGCAGGAAAAGCATGAATGCCCCAGCTTGAAGAACAAAGCAAACAAGTACAGAGAGGATAAATGGCTTACCCAGGGTTATGTTTTCAATGACACAGTAAGATTTGAATTCAGATTTTCCAAATCCTAAAGTATTACTTTATTCCCCACAAGACCCCAGCGCACACACACAAGAAGAGAGAAAACACTGATGGCCAAGGCATACCAGATTTCAAGAAGGGAAGGACTAGGGTCCCAGGCCTTCCCACCTACAACAGAGACACACACAAGTAAACAATAACATCAAGTGTTGACCTGGCTCATCTAAGGAATCCCCCAAGAGTTGGCTCAAATCTACAAAAAACAACTAAAATTATCAAGAGAATAAAGAAGTCTTCTTAAAAAGATGAGAATTTTTGTTCTAGTTTTGAGAAAACAAAATAGGAGAAAGCAAGCTTAGGTGACTAAATGCTGGCAAATCAGAGAATGCCTCATGGAGCTAGTCTTAAAGTGTTTACCTCACATAAAGCAGCAGGGTGAACTCAGTTCATTATCCTAGCAGAGAGTGAAAACTAAAATTTTAATAAGTAAGACACAAGGGTTTAATAACTCAGTAAATATATACCTAGGATTTGTGTACTTAATTGCCTATAAATTTTACCTTTTAAAAAATTTTTTGTCTTTCATTTTATTTGAAAGGCAGAGACAAAGAGAGAAAAAGAGATCTTCCATCACTGGTTCACTCTTCAAATGCCCACAACAATCAGGCATAGGCCCAGATCAAAGTCAGGAGCCCAGAACCCAGTGTGGATCCCCCAGGTAAGTGGCAGGGACCTAAGTAGCTGGGCTATCATCTGCTGCCTACCAGGGTATACATTAGCAGGAAGCTAGATTGGAAGCAGAGCAGCATGGGCTTGAACCTGATGAAGGATGCAGGTGTTTCAAGCTGCAAATTAACCATTGTGCCAAACGCCCATCTTTAGAAAGTCTACCTTTAAAAAAAAATCCCCCAAACCTAAAAAGAGCCATAAATAAACCAAGACATAAATTTAAAATGTGATAATACCTCAATAAAGATGAAAAAAGAAAGAGAGAGAAGTGATGATCAAGAGAGTGACCATAAGCACCACAGAGTCCTGTGAATGTTCCTGGCCCGGGTGGCCTCTCGTGGATGACTCTGGGTTCCAATGACCTGGGCAAGCTCATGAGACATTTGGATTCTGGTGCTTTTCCAGAAGCTCCATGAAGGCAAGTACCTCTGTTGTTCAGGTTCTGCACCCATAGCATCCCACAGTTGGCTCTCACAAACAGAACTGGCTTTATGTTCTAGCACTATCACTGACTAGCAGTAGGACCGGAAGATAGCTTTTACTTCTGGCCTCCCTCAATTCCCTTGTTTCCCCAAAAAGAAACACCAGGCTATCCTGCCAGCTTTGATAAGGTCTCAAGGAGCAAACAAAAGTACTTATCAAAGCATCTTGGAAAATAAGATAAAGCTTAGGTTTGTTGAAATTTAGTTAAATAGAACAAGAATATGAACCAAAAAGTTTCAATCAGTGATGGCCCAGGAAACAGACTGACATAAATACAGCTAAACTAGCCTTGAATGTAGAAAATGACTCACAGCAAATTTACAAGATTGAAGATTCAGAATTAAAATTTCAGGGTTGAAGAAAAAAGTCCCAAGATCAAACTATTTCATCATTCAGAAATTTGACTTTGCTTCCAAAGTCAGTGCTGGGCAACACAGTTCTATTTCTATATAGCAGCATGAAGTTTACAGAAAACTACACGCAGAGAAACATGACCTTGGTCAACGCCATTTCTAGACAGAATGACAATGAATGGGGCAAAGACTGAAAAGGAGTCAGGAATCGTAGGTTCCAATACAGATCCAGTGTCTCTACTCGTCCCTGAGGAAGTCAGCTGGCTTCTCTGGACTTCTGTTCTTTACCCAGGAAAAGGCGATGACAAGTAAGCCATGACTTGAAAATTCTAAGACAGCACAAGGTCATTTTATATTCCAGTATTTGACAGCCTACCCTCACAGTTTTGCAGCTTTTTTCACACTACTTGTATTTCCCCATCATCTAATCAATGAACTAGCCAATCCTCAAAGCCTACTAAGAAGTTGATTTTAATGTCTTCTAAATTGTGTTCTTAATATTCACAGCTCCCTTCCACTGGGCTCCTATAACATCCATGTAACTTTATTTTAGTTGGTTTTAGATCCAATGTACTGTGATGTTAAGTTTACTGGTCTACCCTTTCCCTAGAAGGCAGGAAACATGTTCTATAAGCTTAGAAGTGTTCTCCAAAATATAAATCGACTGAACACTGGAATGCTTAGACATCCCCTTTCATGTTAAAGTCATCTCCCACAGTCGTCTGATAAAGCCTCTAGCCACCTGCACATTCCTGGAACAGCCTACCTGGTCTGCACAGGTCTCCGTGTTGCTCTTTTTCACTGGCATAAACCTCCATGCACCAGGCGTGGTAAGCAAATGAGAAGAGATCTTCTATTTTAGCAGGTGGTCGGATTGCATTGTTTAGTCTCTTCAGCCACTCTTGACACTGCTCAAAGGTTGAAAACTGACACCTTCGTAAAGTCAAAGAAGTACAAACAAAATCAGAAGGCAGTTAGTTGAGAACAAAATCTCAAAAAGCCAGCATTTCAAGAGTGCTTCCTCATAGTGAAGCGGCAGCCACAACTGAGAAAGCTTCAGAGGCAGTCCTTAACGGATTACGATCACTTATAACAAAACAGGTAGAGGACAGGTGCCTGGCCTAGCAGTTAGGATGCTGGCTGGCATGCCTACATCCCACACTGGAGGACCTGGGTTCAGCATCCCACTCCACCCCGAGTCCAGCTTCCTGCCTATGTAGACTACGCCCTGGAAGGCAGTGCTGATGGTTCAAATAACTGAGTTCTTTGCCACCACTTTGGAGACATGGACTGAGTTCCCAGCTGGCTTAGCCCTTGCCACTGTGGGCATTTGGGGAGGAACTGTTGATACAAGCATTATTCTCTCAAATAAATTATTAGAAAAACCAAAAACAATTCCAACAAATTTCAGCAAACAGTGCAAAAGGTTTAAAAAAAAAAAAAAAACCACAACCCTGGACACACGGAACACAGATTTTTCTAAGTGAACGAAATGTCTTCTGAGATTAATGACTTTTAAAAGATTGATTGACTGATTGATTTGAAAGGCAGAATGACAAAGAGAAAGGAACAGAGACAGTTTTTTTTTGTTTGTTTGTTTTTTTGACAGGCACAGTGGACAGTGAGAGAGAGAGAGAGACAGAGAGAAAGGTCTTCCTTTGCCGTTGGTTCACCCTCCAATGGCCACCGTGGCTGGCGCGCTGCTGCCGGCGCATCACGCTGATCTGAAGCCAGGAGCCAGGTGCTTCTCCTGGTCTCCCATGGGGTGCAGGGCCCAAGCACTTGGGCCATCCTCCACTGCACTCCCGGGCCACAGCAGAGAGCTGGCCTGGAAGAGGGGCAACCGGGACAGAATCCGGCGCCCCGAATGGGACTAGAACTAGGCGCCTCAAAGCGGAGGATTAGCCTAGTGAGCTGTGGCGCCGGCAAGAGACAGATCTTGCATCCACTGGTTCACTCTCCAAATGGCTGCATCAGGTAAGTCTCGGCCGAACAGAAGGCAGGATCTCCTGCTTGTCTCCATGTGGTGGCAGGGACCCATGTATTCGGGCCATCTCCTGCTACCTTCCCAGTACATCAGCAGGAAGAGGGATCACAGACGGAGCAGGGGCACCTGAACTGGCATGCCCACGTGCGATGCAAGCACAGCAAGCAGGGGCTTAGCAACTGCTGTGCACGACTCTGACCCCGAAGACAATCACTGACAAGTTTTCCAGTAAAATGGCAGCTGACTTTCAGGATGGGATTCCTCTCTTCCTCTTCCATCAAAAGTTTTATGGTTGGTCTTTTCAGGAAATATTTTAGAAAAGTCTTTTTTTTTTTTATATTTGGCCAAATTAAAAAAACAACCCACATAGTACTTTTAGCTAGTTAGGAAGTAATTGCAAAATTTGTCTGTTTAGCAATTAAGACAAATCACCACCTTCAGATCCAAAACAAAGAGATTACTTTCAGCTGGAATCATTCAGAGAGCAAAACAATTCTATCAATTCCAATTTCCAGTATATACAACCAAGGGGTTAAAATAATTAGTGTAAACTGATCTGCTGAGGATTTGTTTAAATACTTTGCCTTTTTGGATGCAGCATTAAAAACAAAGTAATCAATAAACAAGATTTTTCAACTGTAAATTGTAGTCACTATCAAAAGCAAGCTAAATCTCACCAGCTAAAAATTAACTTACACAGTGAAAGCCAAGGGAAGGGTCCTTAAACCTCTCCCTCATCCCAATCCATGTGGCTCAGCAAGATGCCAACACACAATGTTTATTTGAACTCCAGAGTAGGTCAAAAATGATAAAAGTAAAAACTTGCAGAATTTAGGGGGCCAGCATTGTGGCATAGTGGGTTAAGCTGCTGCCTGCAGCACCGCCATCCACACCTTCTGCTGGTGTGCCTGGGAGAGCAACTGAGAATGGCCTAAGTGCTTGGGGCCTTTTACCCACATGGGGAATCTGAAAAGAAGCTCCTGGCTCCTGGTTCCAGCCAGGCCCAGTCCCAGCTGCTGCAGCCATTTAGGGAGTGAACCAGTGAATGGAAGATCTCTCTGTCTCTCCCTCTCTAACTCTGCCTTTCAAATAAAATAAATTTAAAAAAAAAAAAAAAAAAAAGCTTGCAGAATTTAAAACTCCTGGAGCTAATAAAATCAACATCCAGGCATCATTTTGCAAGCGTTATACTTAAGACTAGAGCAGATAAAAATCATCAATAGACACTAAACTTAGAGACATTTTGATAAGAAGCAAGGTATTTCACAGCATCTCAACCTGGCTCCCTACAGACTTGCTTAGTTGCTAGGAAGAAAAATTTGCTTACTTTAGTAATCAAAACTAACACCACCACTGTGGGAAATGTGGACACAGTTTGCCTGCAGATGTAAGACAAAACCCTACAAAGGATATCACATCGTGTATATAATACTGCAGCTGAGAATGCATAATCTCAATTAAACCTTGAGGAAGAACACAATGCAAGAAATATTCCATTAAAATAAAGCATTATCTTCATAAAAATGTGAAGCTGCTAAAATACAAAGAAAGGCTGTGGAAAACAGTCCACATTAAAGAAGTCTACAGCACTGTATCAGGCAGAGTAGTGTCTGACGCTGCATCCTGTACTGAAGGAGGTAGGGTGGGGGGAATACTATAAAGGACATCACTGTCAGGTGACAAAATTGAACATGGACAGAAGACTGAATAAAAGTATTATGAGTGTAAAATCGTGAAGGTTACAATGTGGTTCTGTGAGAGAATATCCCTATTCTTAGGAAAGCCTACATACACTAAAGAATTTGTAGGGTTAAGAGCCATGATTATGTAGCTTACTCTCAAATTTTTCAGAAGAATCACACACACACACACACACACACACACAAAGTCCACCAGGGGATGAAGTAAATGGAGGTGGAGTATTAACAACAGGTGAATCTAGGTAAACATATACTGGTGTCCTTCGTACTATTTTTACTTTTGCATCTTTTTATAAATTATAAATTATTTCCAATTAAATTTTGGTTAAAATTTTATTTATTTGAGAGGCAGACAGAGAAGGGTCTTCCATCCACTGGTTCACTCCCCAAATGGCCACAACAGCTGGAGCTGGGCCGATCCGAAGCTAGGAGCTTCTTCCGGATCTCTCATACAGGCGCAGGGGGGCCCAAGCATTTGGGCCATCTTCTGCTGCTTTCCCAGGCCATTAGCAAAGAGCTGGATTGGGAAAGGGGAAGCCGGGACAAGAACCTGTGCCCTTATGGGATAACGGCGATGCAGGCGGAGGCTCAGCCTACTACGCCACAGCACCAGCCCCCCCCCCCCCAATTAAAATTTCAACATAGCAAGATTATGCTAAAGATAAAATATCTCAGGCACTAACTGCTCAGAAAATACTAAAAAGACTGATTTCCAAAAGATGCTCTTGCTAAGTTACAAACCATGGATCCATTCTTTAAAAAATATCTCCCACACTAAACCACAGCACAAATACATCACCTACCTGATAACTTTGCAGTCTTTGCAAGTCAAATGAAGCTGAAATATATCTCGGCATTCAACACTTTCTATAAGCTGTAATGGAACCTGCAATTAAAACAGACGAGGTCCCCTTAGTCAAAAAGGCGATGACCCTGCAGTTATTCAGTGTGTCCAAAAAGAATCATTAGAAAGCTCTACAGGCGAATGAAGCAAACAGAACTGCAAATTCATCTGGACCCACTGTACTCAAGCAATTAACACAGAGTGAATCAGGGCTTTCCATTTTCTGTCTCTAAATCAAGGTCCTCAATGTCATGTCACAGCAGGAAGATGGTGAACTCAAGAGAAGGCTCCACCTCTGCAACAACAGTGGCATGGACACCAAGCAGCACACACAAACTCGTCCCTCTTCTCTCATTCACCTTCCACGTGCTATTTAAGATGCCACAGCTGTCAATGACTTGCAGTGACACAGAACAGTAATCCTACCTTTCTTATAGCAAAGAACTACAAAGTACACATGGGACTAGATCAGTTGTTTGCCCCCAACTGATAAAGTTATAAAGTTATGGCTAAGTTAGTAAGAGCAAAGGGGCCCTGTGAAAACACTGGCTATCTACACTGCCCACAGGGCACAGAGAAAGCAGGTGCTGGTCAGCCTCTCTTAGCACAGACCCACAGTACCCAGAGGGAGGGAAAAGGCCACACAGTGGGTCAAGACCCCAAAACCAGCTAGGTGTGACCTGCTTCAGAAGACCAGGTGAGGAGCCCTGTTTGCCAAGTGGGGCTTGAGGTCTGAACACGCTGGAGTGGCTCCCTCCCTGCCTATCTGGTCAGCAGATCCTACAAGCACAGACCATGTGTAATAGTAGAAATGGACCACGGAAAGGAGACAGAAGGAAAACATTTGAATAGAAGGTAACAGGACTTGTCCCTCTGTCTCTCAAATTATTCTACTCAAACTCTAGCTTCAAAAAGGCAATTTCCAAACCTTCAAAGGAATGTGAGATAAAATAATAGCTGATATTCTTATTCCTTCGAAAGGGGTGGATCACTTGTCTCTTATACTGTATCAAGCCCAGCAAAGATGTGGCTCTGGGAATCTCAAGTAGCATTCCAATAATCACGCTTCCCATGAGAAAAGGGAGGCAGTGTCCTGTTAGCCGTGCCAGTTTCAGGACACCTTTCCTGCAAACCCTACCCCACCATGCAGCTGCAACAGTCAGCAGAGAGAACTCTCAGAACAAGGATAGGGAATCAAAAGCAGTCCCGTTCTAGAAGTCTGGAACAAAGAAACAGAAATAGGGGCGGGGATTAAAGAACAGAAAAACATACACGTACACAAACACATATACACACACAAAAAATTACTCAGAAAAATGGCTGAGAGTTTCTACTTCAAGACTGGAGTCCTTGTGCTTCTAAATCTATAATTTATAAAAATTCCCTTACAATTTTAATAGGA